AACTTTAAGTGGCTGAAAAATTTTAATGAAATTTTATTAGTCTATGAAATGAAAAAGAAAAAAAAAATTACACGCACGAGAAAAAGGTGGTACCTAAAGAAGTAAAAGACAAGGGCATGTGAGAACAGAAGCTCGTTGAATTGTTTGGTGGCACTGTAACAAAATGCATCGCCCAAAAATTTTACCCTCACTAGCTTTTTGTTTCAAAAACTTTTTAAAAGAAAGGTAAAATTAATTACAAAACATATATTTAGTACCAAATTAATAAGATTTACACAAAAATGATATTAGAGTGTGGACTTTGTTTACTGACATGAACGATGAATTTTATCAACAAAAAAAATAAATAAATAAATAAAAAGGTGGGATCGAAAATTTGTGTACTACCATACTAAAAATCCCAAAGGAAGTGGAATCCATTGATGGGAAAAAATCACGTGATAAACGCTGGAAATTTGAAGTTGTCCTTTGTGTCTCGAGATTTAGGAGCCAAAATTTTGGCGTCCCACTAATAATTGAACTATCAAGATTCAAAAATCTTCGTATCCTCTAATAACCCCTTAATATAAATTTGAGATGTGTACGCTATATTATTTAAATAATACATAAATTTGATTCAATTCTAAAAGTAACTTTTTTAAAAAAAATAATAATAATAATTTTCTTAAAAGTTATTTTAGTAACACTATGCTGTATAAAACACTTACTACCACTCTTAAGATCGATCATTTCAACCCCGCGTCTTGATTAAAAAAATCATATTTTTTCGTACTTTTTGTAAGACTTGTAAGGATAAGGACCTTTCTATGAACTAATTTCATAATTTAATATTTATTTTAGTACAATATATATAGGAGTAAAGTTTCGAATTCACGACATTTTAATAAAAAGAATAGATACCTTAATTAATTCATTTATATTCGATTTTCTTCGTAATTTAACATTTGGTTGGAGTAGATTGTGGTCTGAAAAGAAAACTGTTGAAGCTTCCCGTTTATGGAGTTATTTTGTCACATCCTGACTGTAAATGGTCTTATCTTATCTTTTCACGAAGTTCAGAACCAGTGATGACATTTTGTCTGGATTTTACTAACAATTTTCGTTTTTTCGAAAATTACATTAGAGATTACAAGAATATTGTAAGTTTTTAAAAATAAGAATTACGGTAGTTTTGAAAATATTTACCCAAATAGTCCTGGTGTTGACAATTTGTCAGAATATTGTTGTTTCTCTTTTTAAAAAAATCAAATTTAACATGAAATTGGTAAGATGTATAGATTGTTATCTAAATTATCAATTTCATCAAATTACACCTTAAATTTTAATCAATATTGCAATCTTTATCATAAATTACTATACAAATATGTTATAATATTTACCCTCAAGTAAGTTTCAGTTTGAAAATTTGTTGAAAAAGGTATTCTTATGTGTCAAATGTATTATAAAATATATATTTAGTCTCATATTAATAAAATTCAAACTCTCGTAGAATTATTTAATGGTCGATTTTATATGGATTAATCAAATTAATTTTTAATGCAAAGCTTGAAAGGGAGTCTCTGAATACTTTCCACGAGTACTTTAGAAAATACAATATTTTTTTAAATTATTATTAAAATATATAATATTAACTAAAAAATACATAATAAAAGTTAACCTAAAAAGTCTTTAAAATCTTAATAAACAAATAGAATGATAATAGGAAAAAATATTGCGATGTCCTTTTTATCTTTTGTTGGGAAACTTTTTCAAACAAAAGATACATAATTCTTTTTGTAAGCACTAAAAAAAGAATAATTAATTATTATATTAATAAATTTAGTTTTCCAGCAACTTATCCTTCTTTAATTAGATTCTCACAAAATATTCTAAATTTCCAACGCAAATAAATATAATATAGGTTATTCTAAGCATCAATACTTGAGCGTTTGGTTTATTTTAGTTCCTGAATTTTCAAAATGTTTATTTTGATCCCTCTACTTTATTTTAATTTTTGTAATTTAAAAAGATGATCATTTTATTCCCTATTTGAAAATATTTAGAAGAAGAAAAATCTTTAATATAAAATCATGGTTACATATCCATAAGTATATTGACGATATTGAATGTAGTGTCGTATCGAAAATTGTGGTAGAAAAAAATGATATTAAAAATAAAATTAAAAGATCAAAATGGTCTCATTTCAAAAGTAAATGACCAAAACGAACATTTTGAAAATACATGAACTAAAATAAAGTAAAGTTGAAAATACAAAGACCAAAATGAACCTTTTAAATACGAGAGGACCAAAATAAACCAAAACTCAAAGTACGAAAATAGTATTTAATCCAAATAAATGAATTGAGAAAAAGAATTCAATTATCTCAAAGATTGTTATTTTCTAAGCCCAACTTTTCAAAACCATTCAACAGAGAGTTCATGTCCTAGACTAATACATAACATAACAGTACCTTCCTTTTGATGCCTTCATTTTGGTGTAGATGAAGGTCGGTGTTCCAGAAACTTCCATGGAGATCCTGAAGCATTTTGCAGAGCTATTCCTCCATCTAAAATGCGTCTTATCCATTTAATCCTGTTTATTAGCTCTTCCATGTCCAAAATTGCAGCTTCTAATGAACCATGGTTCGTGGAATTCAAAGTGACATTGGGCACCATATCCTTTAAGGACTGACCACAATTTGTTTCAGGTGTGTCTTCGTGTTTCTCCTTCGATGCCGTGTCATTGCACAGTCGCTTCGATGGTCTTGCTGTCTCATGTGTAGGCTGCATTGAACTATCTGTAGTCTGAAAAGCTGAGGATGAAGCATGTGATTTTCCAACATTTCCTTCACTCAAATTCTCGGCTGTCAAGTTTGTAAGTAAACACTAAGAAACCAAACAATCCATAAATAAATAAAATATAATAGCTTGTTATTATCACAACATAAGCAATTTTTATCTCACCTTTACAAACAAGTGAGGTACCAGTACACTATTATGTTACTGTAAAACTTTGACACGGTACAGATATTGCAGGTTTCTCAACATAAATTTGAGGGCTCATCTCGTGAATTATTTTAATTTTAAGAATGAATATGTTATGTTGTTATATAAAACATTTCGAATTAAAATTTTTGACGAGTTAACTAATTAATCATAATCAATCCGAAGTCTTAACAGTTTATAGACACGTTTATGGTGAATACAACTGCTGGCTACTATACAATAACTTTCCAGCCAGAGGATAGACCTGGAGAAAGCACATACAATGGAATATATGCAAAAACTTAAAAAAGATTTGAACAATTATTTCCATTGGCTGAGAACTAAGCTATTTGCTGAGTTATGTCACCTAGAGTCAGCAGATGAAATAATGAACAAGAATAAATCAAAATGCGAGCCTAGTTATTAGTATTATTAATGCAGCTCTTACCTCCACTTGGATGTTTAAGCACCCGAGCACATTGAGTACTTCCCTTCACCTATAACCACAAAGGAATGTAAGTGCCTTATTATTGAAAGAACTTCAACAAAAAAATAGACCATCATATACGAATGATATCAGAAAGGGCAATGTACAGATACTAAAATTGAAATTAAATACTTAATACAGATGCAAAATACAACATAATGAAAACATAAGAGCCAAATCGGCCTTTCTACTGTGCTTACGAGGTATATTATATAGAGAGAGATACAATATATAAGTGGATTCAAATCACGGGACTGTAGGGTCCAAGTTCCAACGAACCCACTGGAGAATTGGCTTGCCTCAACGCTAGATTTTAGAGAGAGAACAAGTTTTCTTTCATTAAGTTTTCAGCCCAAAGGTTCTAAAACAAGTCCTGGAGATGTAAAATCCCAAATCCGACCCACTGCGCCAAGTTCTAACCAACAGGATGAATATCAAACAAAATAGTTAAAAGAATGGCACCTTCATATTTGGGACTACCCAACCAGACTCTGGAGACCAGTCTAAGTATGGCCGCAAATCCTTGCAGGAGGCACGATAAGTCAATCCTTCACCAAATGGTGGGGGTAGCAGTTCAATCTATAAAACAGGATAATATAAAATAAAAATGTAAAAAAACAGCCATTCCATGAAAGTGGACGTAATATGTTTTGTGTTAAAAAGTGATGAATAAAATCACACAAGATAAGACGGTGGAAACAAATCAAATAGTGGGTCTGACTTGTTATATCTGATCATTTAATAAAAAAACTGTAAATATTATTCATTACCAACTTGTAAACATTAAATATTATTCATACCAACTAGAAAACATAGACATGGTAATCTAAGATATATCTCTTCAGCAGCTGGGCAATAAATATTTCTTGGGGGAGAAAAAAGGTGTCTTTAGTCACAACTAAAATCTGAGAAATTGGTTAGTAATTGCACTACATCAACCATGATTAAGCTAATAGGAAACAAGTAAGAAGTAAGTTAGCATCGAACACAATTGAAAGTCTGAGGGAGTAGGTAAATAAAAGTACCTTGACCACCTCATCCCCCAATACAGCAATAATTTTGCCAGACCAATAACAGTTATCCTTCCACCAATCAACTAAATCCCCAACCTTCCAGACATCATTCACAACAACAGTCACCTCTAGCTGAGAATTGGTACTAACATCAGATAATTGTTTTTCACGATACACTTGTGGAAACTGAGGACGCACCATCAACTGCCCTTTTGGCCCAGTTGATGGGATACCAAAGGCTGCAGGTGGTTTTTGAAATGGCTTTGTCCATACTACTTCTGAAATCAGAGACAAGTTCTAACGGTGAATATAGTACTTTCCGAAAAACTGAAATTCAATGAGTATTATAATTACAGACTAAATATTTATTGTAAAATTAATTTCTGCTCACACGGTTAGCAAAAGCCGCAAGACTCGATCAAGAGATAGTGGGTTCAAAACCAATTTTGACCTACATTTAAAAAGATCCCACAAGTTTTTGACTACCAAGTACCAAATATAGAAGGGTTAAGCATAATCTAAAATTTCAAAACCCCAGAACCAGAACGTATAAACTTCTTGGTTCTGAAAGGAAAGAAGAAATAGGAGGCTTAACATCATTGAGAAAAAAGAGCTTAGATTCAAGTAGTGAACAGAAACCCATCCAATGTAAAATGATACAACTAAAATAAATACGGTATTCTCGAAGTACTTCCAAATTAACTCAACTACATCATTATGGTTCTCAACGGGCCAAAAGTATATTTCATTCCTCCAATTTTTAGAACTAAGTAATCTCATTAAGCTATTTGTGATCTCAGCATTTGAAGATCAAAAGATAGCTATGCCACAAATGAAACTTTTTCCCACGTTGATGTGACAAAATTAGTAATACGTTTGTAATCAATCACTAAGGTATCCTCTATTATGAAGACAAGCAAAGTCAAAGATTTTTCATTGCAGTATCATTCAATTGATATCAATGCAGTAGAGTGAATGAATAATAACAGTCATATTCCATGAGCATTTTAGAAGGCTTTGAGTAAGAAAGGGACAACCGGACAACCTAGGACAAAAAATAAAGATAAGTGCATACCTTCATCCGGAAAGTCAACAAATTCCAATTCATAAGATAGACTCCCCATTCTCCAGCCACTGTCCTTAATCTGGTTGAAAATTGGTTAGACAATTAAGAAAAATATTGCATTCAGTACCAGGTAACAGAAACCAGCCAAAAGGTATGCTTTTCATTCCAAGCAGAACTTTAACCAGAGGGTTTTAGTCCAATGGAACAATGCACTTGAACAAACGTGTATAGCAATATACCATATACGTCATCTCTGTCTTATTATTGTACCAACCCTGAAAGTAATACAACTAAGTACTACATGGGCTCTGTTTTAGTACTACCAATTATGCAAGTCCTACATACTCTGGCTGGAGTCATACCCCAATTCTGCTAGTCAGGTGGACCCCCTTAGACAATAAAATTGTCAACAGACAAGGTGATTTGATCCTTCCATGAAAAAAAATTTCAATCTTCATTTTTATCTTAGGGTAAGCTGAAACTTTAGTAACAGGTACTGGTTGAAATCTATCTAGTACTACAATATAAAAATTGTAATGCTAATGCATTATAGAGAATTAACGAGGGTATTGGTTAGTTGCTAGCCAAGAATATTAGGGGTTGCTGGAGAGTTTGCTATTGCTTTATAGAGAATTAATACATGGGAAAGAGAAGGAAAGAGGATGTAAATTTTAAGTGAATTTATATGAGGCACTGATACCTAGGGGAGACCAAGCCCTCAGAATTTCTGGCCTCATGGCCTGTATCCCCTATTCAGAGATTAATTCACCATCGGCTTATGTATTCTTTTCTTTTCTCTTGTTGTGTAGTCTATCAGAATTCTTCTATAATCCACATCTGTCTATAATTCTCGAATTTGAACTCAATATCACTTTGAAATGTCCTCGAGAAATAAATTTTATGCATGAAACAGGATAATAACAGAGACAAAATACGTGGAACAATTGGAGAAAAAATCCAACCTAACCTTACAGGGTGTGTTAAAACAAAATCGAAAAACATGTCAATAGGTATAACTGAACAAACTTTACCTATTCAACCACCCCATTTTTAGAGCTCATTTTACTAAATAAACACTCCATGTACATTGTTATATTGCATAGATGTTATTTAACATTATATCCCTAAAGCCTAGGCATTTGTCCTTACAAATTACAATAGAGTATTGAAAACTTCCTCAAAACAATCAAATGTTTCGTACCAGATAACATGCTCAGCTTGTCAACAAACGTGGCTTCAATAATTAGCCTTTACAAGTAAGAATATAATTTCTACCTTACATCGGAACCAAGCACCACGGTAACCAGTGAGAAAGCAACGTGATTCTACCAGTTGCCCAATTTGAAAAGGTAAAGTACTTGCCATATCATTTCACAAATTAGCATACACCTGCTGGAAAGAATTTCCAAATTGAATAACAAGATACTTCATAATTCAAGCCAAAAATACAACAATTGGCAGCATAACTTTCATCATGTTCATCCTTTGTATTCATAATACCAAGGGGGTAGGGTGGTATGAAATCAAGCAACAGAGCTATAAATATGCTTTCAAAATCCAAATATCAAAAATTCCCTACACTCATAACCCTTTTTTTTGTGTGTGTGTGTAAATAACTGTCAATTTTCATATTTATTTACACCTATATGACTAATTCTATGAGATAACTGCATAACCTTACAACATTAGTGTCCATATTTTAGGTAAGAACAGAAAGCATATTTGTGTGAATTAATTATATTAAAATGGGGGTGAGGATGAGATATTCTCTTCCTCCTGATAGCCAAATGAGATTACAAAAGAAGAACTCCAGTTTGCTGCAACTAAGGAGAGAGGGTACAATTACGGAAATATTGGTTACACTTCAAACAACCAATTAGGAAAATCGATTGACATCCAATACCAAATATCTAACTTACTCTATCTAGATTTTGGCTATGTTTCTTCTATCTATTAGAGGGTTGCATGTTGAGAAAAAGAACAAAATGACATATGAAGAATTAAGTAATGCACGCCTGAGAGAGACATAAATAATTTTCCTAGATGTTTTTCTAATCTGTAAAGCATTTCAGGAAACGGATAGGCATTGTCCCCATTACCATAAGAGCATGCTTATCAACTTCTAGAGTGCTTCACCTCCTCACTAAACACTGTTACTAAAGACTATTTCACTCTCTCTAACACAAACAATAATTCAGAGCCTACTGCAAACAAAGACTGTACTTACAAGCCTTTTTAGCTTCCCATCTCCCCAACCATCACGTTCAAAAATCACTGGTGCAAACTGAAAACCCATTTTTCTTCAGTATAATTAACACGCCCAAGCGCATTGATCATTCACCCACTTGCAAAAACTGGGAAACAGAAATGATAGCTTGGAACTTCGTTTGAAAAAAAAAATCTCAATATTCCTGATAATTAAAAGATGATACAACATTACGGTTATGAGCCTAGCGTGAGCTTCCTCGGCGAAAATTCTTCTAATGCAAAAATCCTAGGGCAGCCATCCCCGCGAGTAAACAGCCCGAAAATCCATTTTCTCAATTTACAAAAACAAGTGCCCTACTCTCCCTATCTTCCTGGTTGCTTTGTTAATTTCTCCCATCAGTGACGCAAAAACCAAAGTACAGTACTAAGGCATCTTGTTAATGTGAATAAAAATGGCGAGCTCGTATTCAGAAGATACCTGTAGTTCCTGCAAATTTTTCTTCTCCAACTTTCCTTACTGAGGAACTTGGAAGTCTGGGACACGCGCCGAGCGAACCGCGTCTGCTGGATTTTCCAAATTTGTTTCGTTTTACATTTTCCTCTCTTTCGCCTGATTTCCAGAAATAGGCGTGGAAATTTTATGCTAAATATTCATTCAAAATTTAGTTCCTCATTTTTTCTATTGGTTTTTATAATTTCTCAATTTGATCTATAACATATATAACATATTTGGACATAGAGATCAGCACAATATGAATTTGGTACTTGAAAAAAATAAATTTTGCTAATTGGTGGTCCAATTTTGCTGATCCATGCCTCAAGTAACATTTTAATAGCATGTCATTTTTGATATGACGGAAGAGGACCGGCTCTTCGATTGAATGAAGGGGCTCCAACGTGTTACTTTATTATTTAAGAGAAAAAAAAAGAAAAAAAGAACTATTGCTTATCGTTTTGTTAAACAATTTTTTGAGAATTTTTTATACATCACAAGTAAAATTGAGAATTTGAGAATGGACTTGAAGAAAGGGATTATCTTGTATATTTAGCTAAGAATTTTAATTTCGAGACGTAGGTAGCTATTATAAATTATTGTGTTTATTTCACTCTAAAAGTTTCAATGGCATTATTTGAAAAGGAAAATCAATTAGATATTTGAAACTTTAAATTAGCTTACTTTAGTTCAGTATGTCATTATTATTGATCGATAAATATGTCAAACTATAAATTATATTCGAGATGGGTGGTAGAGTTAGTCATGTTAAAATTAGGACTAAAATGGTTAAAAGGTATGCTCCTTTATCTAGTATGATATTTATCTACAAATATTCACGATCTTCCACGTTTTTTTAACTAGAGTATAATCTTGGTCACACTTCTAGTCTAGTTATAATAATCCTTTTCAATAATTGACCAATAATTTTTTTTAAATACTCTTTTGGTCTCTATATTTTTAATTTAAATTTATTTTAGTCTCTATATTTTGTAAATGTTCTTTTAAACACGATTGATTTTTAGTTCTTGCCCTTAATCTATAATTAATAGGGTAACAACGTATTCATGATGTGACATTTTTATTATAATAAGTGCCTATGTAGTAAATTTAATTGCAAAATAATATGAGGATTATATTAAGAAATCAGGTCGGTCCGTAAATACAGAACGTCTTTCTAGTTATTTCACATCCTTCGTTGGAGTCTTGTATGTTTATTTGAGTGTGGCTTGTGTAAGGTCATTTGATATGGTAAAATTTACCTCTCCAATAGAGGCTATTGACTGAAGATGTGGTTGATTTGTCGATTAGGTTGATTTTAGTAGCGCTGGGACTAAAGATTGGTGACTACAATCGATTCACATAAAGGAACGAGAAATATCGATAACAAAGGGATATGAAATAACGAGAAATATCGATAACGAAGGGATATGAAATAACGAGAGACTAACTCTGGTGGAGGCGATTTTCAGCTCCACATGGGTAATGAAAGTTACACGTGACTTTGACTAATAAGCCTCAAGTTTCTTTACCTCGGTCTCATCTCCTTGAACCGATATGATGTCTTGCGCAGTCGAGCCAATCTAGCTTCCTTGAAGTCTCGTTTTTATTTATTGGTTGGATCAACTAGTTTCATTTCGGCTCAGCCCAATCTTCGACATGTTCCATGACAATAACGTCGTGATTCACTGTCACCTAAAGAGCCGTTGAGACCTTGTTGGTGGCATTGTAGGAGAAGTTGCCTATAAATAGGACTCATTCACCTCATTTTCAGGTACGCGAACACTAAATTTTCTCTCGAGTTTTGCAAGGTTTCCTGCTCAACCCATCTCTAGCTCGTCTACTGGATCATCCTCAATCTGAGCCGAGATTCGCTGAGTTAGTCAATTCGTGATAAAACAAACTCAATCCCAATTTTTTGGGATTTAATATCATTTATTTTACCCCACCCATCTTATTTGGAAACTCTTACTCACCTTTAAAAAAATGTCACATTACTTTTACTTTATTAACGATAGATTAACGGCATGGACTAAAATGAATCATTTTTAATAGTACAAAACACCAAAATAAACATTTTTATAGTACAAGACTAAAACTAATCCGTATTGAAAATAAATGACCAAAAGAGTATATTTTCTATATAGTCACTTATTTTTCTACTTTTGCCATTAAAGAATTTGTTATAATAGTCAAAACGAACATAGCTCAGCGGTAATTGATATATACCTCGAACTATGAAGATGTGAGTTCAATCCCGCATCCCACGTATTGTACTAAAAAGAAGTTTGCACTTTGTTCTTTTTTTCAAGCAAATTATTTTCTGGTGCATCCTTATGAGTCATTTCCTAATATAAATAACTATAAATAAACATAATGTCAAATGTCACTTTTCTTTATAATAATCTTAGAATTTCATCCATGTGACCCTCCCAAACTACTTCATAATCTACACGACTAAATTCGAGGTATGAATTTTAATACTATTCCACATTTTATTAAGAGTGGTGAATATTTGTTGTATCTCGATTGGTGTGATATTATTAGTAGATAGTTCTTTCTTTCTTTTTTTTTTTTTTTTAATTCTTCATCTCATCTATCCTTTGTGATACGCTAAAAAAATTTGTGTATTCCAACTCCAAGTTTTAATTATCACAGTTTACAAATTTATGACTTATTTTGGACCTATTGTGAAACAATATTTTTTTTTTCCTTTTTTAAGAACATCCAACGAATGGCTTTGTCTTTTTTGGAACAAAATTATTCTCCATTCTAGAATAACAATTTTGATTTATATATATAACACTACCAAATTCCACCAAATCATTATATCGCATCTTTTGAAAACAAAAATTAAAAATTAAGAGTACACCAACCCACAAACAAGAGATTCACGATAAGCAGAGTTTTAATCCACGTTTCAATATGTATTTGATAATTAAATCTCAAATTAAAAAATTGTTACTTATTAATATACTTATAAATTAGTGGGAGTTACTAAACATTTAGTTTAATCTAAAATATTATTAATTTAATTATTAACATACATATTATAAATTTTGTATAATTATTATTTTATAATAGGTTATGTTTCACATCTTTTAATTTTAACACACGAAATATAAAAAATATTATTTTTAGAATTTATACTATTTGGATTACATAATCAAAAAATAAACTTTAAAAAACAAATATACCAAATAGATTTGGACTAAATCAAGATGAAGTGAATCTAAAAATAATAAACACAAATTTGAATCTCTTTTTTATTAATATCATCAATCTTGTTTATTTATAAATTTGCTCGGGTTTTAAACCAAATTTATCTTAATTTATATGCATTTAAAGAAGATGTCTTCTGGAATAAGTAGAATAACTAAAACAAATATAACGAAACAGTTTTAAAAACCCTTCAAAGTTCAAACTAATTTATTTAACTAATTAGAAAGAAAGAAAGGAAAGGAAAGGAAAGAAAAATAATAAAAAACAGCTGATGAAAATTAATCATCATACCCCGTTGGTTGTGTTTCTTCTGATAAAGCCCACGAAGACAGAGAGAGAAATAATGGGCCCATCTGGCCCACTTCCCTTAAATGGTACCCTATTCAACTGCCTCAATCATAACAAAATAATAATAATAATAAATATCATTTTGGTCACCAGGCCTGTCAAAAAAAAAAAAATATATATATATATATATATATCATTTTGGTCAATTAAAAAAAAGAAATATATATTTTTTTTTTTCTCTCTCTTTCAAATGTCCAGGTTTTATTTTTGTACCATCAATAAGTCTTTAAAACATAAGCCTTCGTTCCATTTTTTTTTTCAATTTCACATAAGTCTTCATTCTTAGTCTGAAGTTAAAGTTTTATTTGATTTGACGATAGGATGGAGTTAGAAATTTTATAAGGGTGAGACAAATTTTTATTAATTCGGGAAAAATTTTAACAAACATTTGTCTCTGTTACACACATTTTGATTGGAGAATGTTTTAATCCGTTGAACTAACCTCAAATTGACAACTAAATCGTTATTGATAAAAGTCGACATTTGATTTTAATAAGATTTTCTACGATAGAGACTAAATTGCTATAATTTTTTATTAGGAAGAAGATGAAGGATTTGAAAACAAAGGACAAAAACAGTGTCGTTGTACTGTGGATGAACCCACTGTCTTGAAAGCAATTTCGGCACGTGGTACTAAATCATTTTCACGACTGTTGCTTATCAAGGTTAACACAACATCCAACTTAGATGCACTCGTCGGAACAAATTGAAATCAAATCAAACATCAGAAAAACAAAAAAGAAATAAATTCTGTAAAACCGAGATAATTTTTTCGGATCTAGATTGGGGAGGAAGATGAAGATATGGATCTATAGGTAATAAAAATGTATTTCTTATTTTTCGCACGAGCGAGTGCAAGTTATCCAAACCCGTCCACCTATTCTGTGTGGAAAGATATTTTGTACTCACTCCAGACCTCTTTTAACAGTCTATTAAAACATTTTCAATATAAAAATAAGCATTATTTCCATTTTAAAAACTATGAGTGTGGTACGAGTAAAATTTATTTTTCTTTATCATTTTCAGCAATTTTAAACTATATGACTCAATCGTTACCTATTATAAAGTTCAAATACTAGATCCTTACAAACTAAAGTAACTAAAGTTAAGTCTTAACGAAACTAGGATCTAATCCAAGAAAAAAAAGAACTCCTTTTATGTCTTTCTCTTACTTTATTATGATTATCTGCTTCTTCTTACCAAAATTATTGCCAACAACTCACTATTCCCTTCAAATTATCATTGTGATCTGCTTCTTCTTCTTTATATTCCGGTGCGGTGGTTGGCTTCTGCCTGCAGTTGAACCACCGGCCGCCGGTGGGGCCGCGGCCGTCCGTTCTCCCTCCACCCTCCACCTCTCGCCTAACTTATATTCTTTTCGAATCTCTCCAATCGCTTTTGCAACAAACCCCCAAATTTAGTTTTTATTTTTCTCTGCCTAAATATTTTGGATAAAATAAAAGGCATGTCCTCCCATTTAAGATAAGACATTAGAGTTGTCATAAAATTATAAATCAATGATAGATATGTCAATGCTTCTTTTATTGTTGTCACCTAAACTATATATTATATATTAAATCTTGAAATGATAACAAGCTACCAATCATGTCAATCTTTTTTAATTTCTCTCCTGGATTTTTTTTCTAATTGTGATTTTTTTTTTGGGAAATTCTCACCGTGATTTAATATGAGAATATAACACCTTTTTTTTGGGTGAAAGATAAAATAAAATGTTGTTTGGTATAGGGCCATTTTTTTAATCTATTATTATTTTTAAATGGTTAAATTATAAATTTGATCCTATAATTTTAAATTAGTCCTATAATTTGATCATTTAATTCAATTTGATCTCTATATAATTTCAAAATTATCATTCATATGAATCATTCCTCCTATTACCATCTCTATGCAACAATGAGATAATATTTTTTTATTTGACTATGGGTGTTTTGAATTGTGTAAAATGTAGAAGAAAATAGATAGATTTTTTTAAGTGAGTAAAAAATAGTTTAAAGATCATAGGTGAAGTTTAACTAAATTATAGAAACTAAATTAAAACTTTAAAAACTATAAAAACCCTAAGATTAAACTAAAAACTAAGGCAAAAATTGAAACTATGCCAAAATCTCGAATCTAACCTTTTTTAATCTAAACAAAATTTTTCTATGTTATTACATATTCTCCTATTATTCTTAGGAGCGTTCCAAATCATCTTTTGTATTTTAACAAATAGAAATTTAGTGAAAACATAATAAAAGTTGTTGTTCAATTTTTTTTTTAATTTAAATAATATATTTTAAAAAATAGTTGTGGTTGTTATGCATTTTTAAATCATAGACATGATAGACAAATCATCCCAGAGTTGGTCATCAACGTAATTATAAATAATAATAATAAAACTTGTTTTAGGAACAATATTCAAACCACTTCTTATCATACCTTAAATCTTCGTCCAGATGCTAGACATCTCTATATGTACATGATTTTAATATCAACATTTCTTTAGTATTTAAAGAAAATTTATAAAATATAAAAAATATTAACAATATAGGACTAATATTAATATTATTAATTTTTTAACTTATTTAAAAAAAGAGTGAAATCCTTATTTGTTGTTTTTAATATATGTTATGAGTTTTTTAATTTTATATATATATTTTTTAAATATTCATCAACATTCAATATTTTGTCAATATTTTCATCAAATTAAACCTCGATAATTTTATCGACATTGACATTAAAATTTACCAATTATTTATAAACTCTTCTCGATCATAATACAAATTATCATAAAAGTAAAATGGAAAAAAAAGAAGAAGAAGAAGCAAAATACACGATATTAAGAAACATAAATTCGTGAATTTGAACCTAGTTGAGTGATTAAGGTATATATTACCATTCTTGAAGTCCATCTCCTATTCCCGCAATTTTTTATTTTGTTTTAGTACAGCATGTTAGAGAGAAGATTCGAATTCACAACCTCTTCGTTGAAGGTATATGTCAATTATTATTGAACTATTCGCTTTGACACTCCTGCAATTATCGAACTAAAAAAAAGTAAATAGATTTTGATTAATGAGATTGGATAATTTATATATGATGGAGAGAGGGGGTAGAGATATTAATTGGAGGGTAACGAGGCTTTATCAAGAGGGTTAAGGAGCAATAATCAAATATGGGGCCTAATCAATTGTTTAGATGCAACATCTTTCTCTTTCTTTACTTTTTAGTTAAGACATGGACCTCTTTTTCCACACATGCCCCTCATTCTCATCTACTTAACGCCTCTATTTTCCCGTTTAGGGACTACTTTTCAACTAATCCCCCATAATTAATTTTTAATAAATCCATATATATGTTATTACATACATTATATTAGGTTTTTTTTTTCCTTTCTTCTTAAGGGTGCTTGCAAAAGTGACAGAAAGAATTAATATGAATTTACAAAAGTAACAACTATTTTTCAATTTTATAAAAATAGCAAAATCTAGAGGGTTTGCCTACCGAAGAAAGTAAAAGTCTAATATACCTTTAATTAACATGAAGTCAAAACAACGATATTTTCTATAATTTAAATTATAACCAAATATCTACCTTCTACACCTAATATGAAGGTTGATATACTACCATTGATATACTTGGTTGATTACATTACAAGAATCTTGATTATGATTGCGACAATACACCTCATATAAATGATGATATACATGGTATATATACTTGAGGAACTGGTATATATACGTTAATTAAGATGGAATGAGTTCAAATCTCATGATGACCACCTAGCTGAGGAACTAGTAATTCCTTTGTGTTTCCCGGCACCAAATGTTGTAGGGTCAAGCGGTTGTCCCGTGAGATTAGTCGAGGTGTGCATAAGCTGACTCGGACACTCACACATATAAAAGAAACAAAAAAAATATATACTTGATTTGATATATGATTTTTTTAGTACAACATGTGATGATGGGAATCGAACACACAAATTCATGGTTGGAAATATATGACGATTACTGTTAACTATGCCCACTTTGACTGATTTGATATATCATTGATATAGTTGATTTGATATACTATCCATATATATCCATAGATTTGGAAGAGTAAAATTATAATAACTGAAAAATCATATTTCAAATATTTGTCATATTTACAAAATAAAAAAAATCATTCCTATATTTGAAAATATGAGTAATATTTTAACTACCTATTATAAATTCTATTTTTAAATTTCTTAGAGCGATTTTTTTTTAATAATTGAATCGTGTTTGGATACTTATTAAATCATATTTATTAATGACGTGTTAGTTTCTTTTCTAATAAATATTGTATCTAGTGTCTTTCTTTCATTGGAGGATACGTACCAATTTAATAATATTTTTTTGAAGGTTAGGAGTTACATAAATAAATAATCAAATTGATGTGATTCGTTAGTAATCTCACATATTAGTTGTTTATATATATGTCAATAATACATCTCAATAATTATTAGCTCCAGTATAATGATTAATTAATGAAATTTGATATTGAGTAGCTTTTCATTTTTCGTTTACCATTTGTTGGCTCATGCCATTTAAAAAAGAAAACAAAATGAATGTTGTGTGATTACGATGATTATTTTTGTTCCTATTCCTTATTTTATAATTTAAAATATGGAAATCAAGGATTTGATTGAATGTGAAAATAGTTAAATGTCAAAGAAAAAAAAACACTTTAATTGAAGACTTTAGTAAAAATAAATATTTAAATTATTAAGCTGTCTAAAAAAATATTTAAACTATTATATATTTTGTTTGATATTTGTTGTGTCATCCATCAGTCAAAACTGATATATAATAATTTTAATTAATAGTTTGGAAAGTTCAGAAATAGAAAGACAAAAACTTTTTAACTTTTGGAATAATTTTAAAAAATAAGAACAAAAATAGTCCTAAGTAATACAACATAACATTTTTGTTAGTTTCTATTTCTCTTTTCTAATAAAGAAAAATATAATTACATGATTTTCGTTTCAATATTCATGGATTCAATAATGATAAAATAATATTTTTATCTATATTTTGAAATAAATTACAAGAAACAAAAAATTGTTTTTATTATTTCCAAAAATTCTAAACAATTTTAAAAACGTTTCTAAAAATGATAAACAATAAACATAAATGGTTGCAAACCGCTTAAATTTCTTAATAAAATGGAAAACTAAAAACCAGAAATGGAAATGTTATAAAGGAACCCCAAATGTATAGATTCCACAACAATTAAAGACAAGAGGTAGAATATAAGAAACGTTAATATTACCATAGGATTGTTCCTACTTTGTTGGGATTGCAAAATATCCAAACAAAGTCCCGAGTAGGGAATGAGGTGATCCATGATATATAAATAAGAACAAAGTCATTATCATGTTAACACATTTTGACTTTTAAGAATTTTATTAGATAGTAAAAAACCGAAGGAAAAAAGTAACCTTGAAGTTTAACATTCGTTGATTGTACTCTCATCTTAACTAGTTGAATGAAACTATTTTATGATTAGTATTTTGTGATTAAAAATATTATTCAAACTATTTTATGATTAGTATTTTGTGATTAAAAATATTTATTTTTCTTTTTGTTAGACTTAGACATTGTATCACTATTTTAGTATTTCGTAACATTAATTTTGTGAAAATTTTAATGGCTGAGTTTGAACATTTTCGTGGTTGCATTTTGGATTATTTTTTGAATTGATGTTTAGACCCTTTTAGTTTTAAAAAATTATTAAATTTACCATTAATGTAAAATTTCAATTAAAGTAGTACTCTAGCATTTAAATGCCCAACTATAGGCTATATCATAGAATAAACAAACAATTTTTTTTTCCAAAAATTAATTCAAAATTTGCATTGCTAGCCCCTTCTTCAGGCGCTTAAATATTTTGAAATCTTAAATTTCAAATTTGAATATGAAAAAAATAAGGGTTGAAAAAAGTCCAAGTTCCAGTTTCAGCTTTCGCAGAGGTTCAATTTACGGGGTCCATTTAAAAATAAGGTAAAATATTATATACTTATTTTAAAAATAATAATTTATTAAAATTTTATCCCGTTATAAATTTAAATACGATAAAAAAAAAAAAACGCCGCCGTTAAAAAACGACGTCGGCACCGACGCGGCGTGGGTTTATATAAACAAGGAACAGAAACAGGGCGCACTCCGACACCGTTCTCGGAATCGCGATTTCATTCGGATGCCTTAATACATTTCGACGCAATCCACAGGTATTGTTTCCGTTCTTCTTCTATTACATTTTGCAGATTGTTTCTTGCAACGGATGTATTAGTTAGATCTGGTGGCTGTCTCTTGATCCATTGATTTTTTTTGTGCCAGAACTTGTAGATGTCATCTTGATTTCTGGTTGCTGCATTTAGTTGCTTATGATTTTTTAATCCGGTGGCTGAAATTTGTAATGGTTTTGTTTGCGTTTGAGAAATGATCGGGTGATATAGGATACATGTGTAATTTCCTGACGATTGCGAGCTTCTGTTCCTGTGGTGTTTTTGTAGTGTTTCATCTGTTGGTAATTCGTCGATCGATCTTTTTAATCTCCTCTTTTGAGTTCATAGAGAATGTTTTCGATTGGAAAGTTTTGTATTCGATTACAATGTTGGTTTTGGTTAGATAAATTTTAATTAGGCTATTTGAGCATTTGATGAACCTTGCTATACTTTTAATTGTTTTTACGGCATGGTGAGATTTGGATAATTTTAGTTCTTATAGAAAACCTTCATTGTGACTTGCGACTATTTAGTATCATTTTTATACAAATGGCAAATCACGGTGTGGCTTCGGCAACTGTTTCTGGCTCTCTTCCTCTCTCTGAAAATATTGTTTTCGATAAGAACAATATTGCATTTTCTTATGTATGTAGTTACAGACTGCAGTATGTGCATTCGTGTATTTGAGATTATTGCAGAGTTGGTTTGGTGCCGATATTGATAGCATTATCATGATTTTCATAATTGCAGTGTCATGGAGATTGAAGGTACCGATGTTTGCATGGACAAAGAGCCAGATCGTGTAATAACGTATTCCTCTGGAGTCTCTCATGATTCATCTCATGAAGATAGCCTCAATCATCAAGATGTCATGGAGTCATTTGGCGAAATAAATGGGGATCATGATACCAACAATTCAGAGGAGGGCAGCGAAGCAAAGGAATATGAAGTGAAGGAATGCACAAATGAAAAACCAATCGAGATTGCTGAACTGCCCCATTCAGCGAAACCTGACCAGCAGCAAAATGTGGTCAGCTTGAATAAAGAGAAAGAGACAGTGGAGAATAAGGTGGTAGAAGAAGGAAAAGATGATGACAAATCTCAGTTAACTGTGAACACATTGAAACCTTCTGCTGGAAATTCACGTACAAGACACACTGTTCCGCAGCCATTTGCCTTAGCAACAGAAAGGCGTGCTTCATCTGGTACTCGACCTCCCAATGCTATCACCACCGAAAAATCTACCAAAAGCATTGTTCGCCCTGCAAATACCAAATCAAATCAGGTACATTCTAAATTTCTGATTGAAATTGAATACTCAATTCTACTAGTATCGGCTTGGTTCCCTGGACTTGTATAATCCAATTGACCCATATGCTTAATTCACTGCTTTCACCTTTAGGAATGTTTATGATCCTACAAAAAATTTTCTTGATTCATAAAAAAATAACGCGTAGGGCCTTGCGTCTCAGGCATTAATGGTTATCCTTTATAGTTATACTTATACATGGCCTCAATGGATTTGTTTACCACCTGCAGCCTGCATCACCGAGGGTGCTGAGGAAGCCACTGCAACCTAATAACAAGAAGCATGCTGATGAAGAAGACTCCTGCTCGGTGGTTTCCATGTATTTTTTCTTATCTTTACATTATTTTGTTTGCTACTGAATATAACCTTCTTCTTTTTCTCTAAAATCGATTATTGCCTATCAACCGTTGGTAGCAGTGCAGTATCATCACGGGCTATTAAGAGCAAAGTTACTGTTGCATCAGCTCCTACATTTAGATGTACAGAGCGTGCAGAGAAAAGAAAGGAGGTATTACCATGGTCCATCTTATCATATTCAGTTCTTTACAAACTACCCTTTCCATAATCATCTATTATCTTGCCTTTTTTTTTCTTTAACTTTTATTTTCCTTATATGTAGTTTAACTCGAAATTGGAGGAAAAACACCAAGCTCTGGTGGCTGAGAAGACTGAGTGTGAGACAAGGTCTAAGGTAAAATATGGTCTCTCTCTGTGGAGGAGGATATTTATTGTTGCCTCTTTTATTTATTTATTTTTCTCTTCATGTCACTTTCTGCAAATCTTTTTCTTTTAGTTGCTTCCAGAAGATAATTTTAAAGCTAATTATCTTTCCTTTCCTTGATCTCTTCATCGATCTTCCAAATTTTTAGGAAGAGACTGAGGCTGCTATCAAACAACTAAGAAAGAGCTTATTATTCAAAGCAAATCCAATGCCAAGCTTCTACCACGATGGGCCTCCTCCCAAGGTTGAGCTGAAAAAGGTATACTTGTTACCAAAATTTTGTGGCCCCTACATTATCTCGTCAAACAGAGAGTATATTGTTTGGAATATATGAAAATTTTCCTTGCTTGAATTATCATTAATAATACTCTGTTCTGTTTGAGTGGCAGCTCCCACCAACTCGTGCAAAATCGCCTAAACTTGGCCGACGTAAGAGTTGCAATGATGCAGTTCATTCGTTCTACGGAGACAAGATAAAAGTCACTTGTGGCAAGGGAAATGGTCGTCGTTCAGATAGTTACAATGTCAATGAGAATCGAGGTGACGTCATTCGCTTCGTAAAAAACGAGCTGAAACAAGGGGAGGATCTTTTCGTGAGGTGATTCCTATAGATATAAATGGTCCGAAGAACATGAATATTTCTGTCCAGTCTTGAGTTTGCGACGAACTTCCAAGTCTCCTCTGCTACGTCCAGCATTTCCAAGAGTTCGTTGCGTTGGTTTGTGTAATTTATGAAATGTAAATTTCTGTAATTTATATCCTTTGTTTATGCTGATGCATTTTACTTCCAGGTAAAATATTTATCTTATAGGGCCACCCCTGGAAGAAAAAAAGGAAAACAGAGAGAAAGAGATCTACTAAGATGTTGTTTGAGCTATCGTTTCCTTTGTAACTTCCTTTTGTACTTAAATTATACGATGACCATTCTTGTTTCATAGAATCCAATTTGAAAATAAAAGTGGATATCGTTCCCTTGTTTATGAATCTATTTTTGCTTGTGCTTTCTATTATACGAGAAAGGGTTTTTGCTCATCCTGGTCGAGGTTGCGTTGTATGTTACCCAAAAACCCTAATTAACTGTTTGGTAGATATTTTGCTTGTTAGCTAATATGAATATAGTTCAGTAAGTGGTATCTATTCTTTTCTTTAAGATCGGAGATTCAAATTAAGATAGAAGTACTAAATGGCTTGAATGGAAGGTAAGAAATTGAGGTGGAGACTTGAATTCACCTTTCTTAAAAATATGGAGCAAAACAAGTTTTTGAAACTTACTATTTTAGTTTTCAACTTTACTTTTTGCTTTTTGATTTTTAAAACGTATCAAAAAGTAGACGTCAAATTAAATAAATACATAAGTGTTTACAAATTAAGATTTTGAATATGTGAATTAAGGAATTTGTGTTGAAAATTAGTATGTGACCACAATAATTAAAGGATTATGATAATAATTTATGCAATCAAATCTTTTATATTTAGAAAAAATAAATAACTATAATAAATGTAAATACGGTAAAATCGGAATTAAAATAAAATTCTACAACGTAGAAATTAGAAAATTTTAGACATTTGTACAAATAAATTTGCCGCCGTCCAAAAACATTATCTCGTAATCCAACTATAGAAAGAGCCCAGTTACATATCTAAAAGGCCCATTTTCAGATGAACAAGCCTCATAGAGACGTATGAAAAAGATTACAGAAATTGTATGGGTCATATTATATCTGATATTTCACAAAGGTCTATTTTTAAAAAAATATTTATAATTTTAGATTTTTAGAATTTAAATAAGTAATTTTTTTTTTTTGTCAAAGTTTCCTCAATAAATGTCATTCTATTATATATATTATTATATTTTAAAATATATTCTTTCCAAATGATTTCTTTTAGAATGGATAGTCATTTAATGCAAATATTTACATTTAATGAATTTAAGGTTTAAGGCTCTTTTTCTTTATTAAAATAATATAGGGAAATTTTCTCTAGTGATCCTAGATTTACAGTTTAGAGTTTTATTTATTTATTAGGAATATATGAATATGAGTAACTTGATAATTTTCACATGGATTTCATTGAAAATGTACATCTATTTTGACAAATTTGTAAATATTAAAATTTTTATACACTTGTGTAATTAGGTACTTAGAAAAGTCTAATTATGTTATTATCTCGAAAGATTCTGATTTTATTTTATTAAAATACAGCAATTAAGTATTGAGATTAAAACAATATTTTAAATCAACTAACTTTTGTTCCATAAAGCAAATACTTAATTAATATAGTATAGCTGTCAAATTCTCCAATTATTTGAAACCTTCCAAATAAAAAGTCAAAATAATTAGTTCAGTTGTTTTAATATCACCTGTGAAAAAGGTCACTCCTGTAAGTAAAAGAATAAATGCATCATCAAACCAAACAATTAGAAAAAATTATAGGTCCATTTTAAAAAAATTTCTATTTCATGTTTTTTTTTTCTACTTGTTGAAAAATATAGAGGGTTTGATTACGTAAATAAAAGTATTATTTTATCCTTATTCACTTTAAAAATGTAATAATAAATATTAAAAAGTAAATATAACATTAAAATTTTGAATATTTAATTAAAAAAAGTTCACAAAAAAAAAATCATTTTTTAATTTAAAATTTTAGATTACCAAAAGAAAAATAAGAAATAGTGAGCAAATATATTATTGTTAAAAGGAAGAAATAAACAACAGTTACCAAAGTGCAAATTCAATTATATTTTTTATTTTCTAAAATAGAATAAACAAAAAAACGTGTTAACCAGAACCATGACTTTTTGCACCCTCTTAAAAAATGGCCCTTTTTTAAACTTTTTTTTTTAATTTCTTAACAAGTCTGTCCTTTTATTATTATTGTTGATGTAGAAATTTGGTCTCATGAGATTCTGCCAAATTTGCACTAATTTTCAAGAATAAAAGAGATCGACGAGACCGAGTAGTTGAATATAAAGTGTAGAGTATTATTATGAGCATGACAAATAATAGAGATTTGTAGTCTACCTTGACTTACTTCCCTTCCAAATAAGAGTTGAATCCTCATCTTTAATTGTGAAATTTGAATCCCGGTACATTTAGAAATTTGGTTATCTGAATTTAACGAGAATCTTGAGGCAATCAGAATATCTTCTATGCAAATGATTTGGTAACATAAGTGACAATGATTGAGTCTATCGTCCAACCTGTAATAATGATCGGACAAAATGAATTTAAAGAACCATAACGTTTTCCACCGTTTTAAAAAGTAAAAATAAAACAGCACCAATTTTATATTATTAAAAGATATAAATTATAAGAAAAATTATAAATATATTAATAAAACAGCACCAATTATATATTTTTTATAATATACTAATATTTAAAAAAAAATCGAATACAAACGTGATATTTGTCCCTACTTGTTCCTGCACTAATAAGTATGACTGTATGAGCACCCACTTATTTTTATTTTTAGTGGCATGAAAATATTAGGAAGATTTTATTTGGTTAATAAAATATCATAAATGAATCAATAATACTAATAAAGTGCATGATTTTATAAAATAATGTTATTCAAATATCGAGTTATAATTTAAACTTATGATTGCGTTTTGAATAATTGTGATCTGCATAGGTCGATATTTTTTTTTTACAATAAATAGATTGAGAAAGATTCCAACTTAGATTAATTATCGTTGAACTAAACTCATGTTGACGTATAAGGCGCTACTTACTAAGGGAGTATATATTATTTATTTTTTTCATGTAGTATATACCTTTGGCATATATAAAAATAATAATGGAGTTGGTAAGCAATATATATAATATATATAAAGCGTGTCAGCTTTTTATAAAAAAGAATAATAAATGTGGAGGTAAGATCAACGTGCAGTTTTGTTTATTTTAAAACATTAGAGAAATGCTTAATTGAAGATGATGTAAAAGAAATGTGATTTTTCTGTTCTTATCTTTTCCTTAATATGGCCCAGTTTTTTTTCTTTTATTATTATTTTTGAAATATTTATTCATTTGTTTATAAGAAAAGTGAGTACTTTTATTTATTTGTATTCTATTCAAAATATTAGCCAACAATAGGAACGAAAATTTCTCTATCCTCATTCTAGATTAAAAATAATTTTAATTACGCAAATTTAATTTTTTTTAATCTTTGTTTTAATGATATATCTGTGTTAGTGGTGACAGCTTGAGCCAGCACTCAGTAATCAGTATAGTTCAGAAATAGTAAAAGAATTTTAAAAATAGAAATCATATGGGGTCAGTAATGTCAATTACCCATGTTTTTTATCTTAAAAAAAAGGAAGGTAATTTTTTTTTTCTTTTTTCAAGTTTGCATTATGCGCGTCAGCATCAGCATTAGAAGAATTAAAAGAGGCAGTGGTACGGACCAGCGACAAAGTCTACGCGCACAAGGGTAAGATAGTAAATTCGGAACTTGCAATTTTAAGTTATCTTTGAAGAAGGAAAAAGAAGTGTTGATTTTCTCTCGATATTTAAATATAAGAATTTAGTACAATAATGTGTAGATAAGAATTGGATGATTTTGTTCGTTGAGGTATATTCCAATATAAATATTATTTAAAAATAAAAAAATTATGTATTATATTTATTTATATATATATGACCAAAATTCGAACCTCTAACTTTTTTCTTTTAACATATAAGTTATGCTTTGACCTTACATCTTCTTTTATTTTTATACGGATCAAACAAGAATAAGAGGGATTCATCGAAGAAGATACTTCTATCATTCATCATTAGAAGAATAAGAAGACTAACTAGGCAAAACCAGGATCAAAATGTGAATGTTGTCGTAATCGAATGTATTTCTCATTCGACATACTCTCGTCTGACCAATTTGGCTCGGACACCAGACCGCTCGTGCCCGCCCCCTCTCTCGGACAAGAAAAGATATGCGCAAGTACAGTAGTTCAAGGCAGGCAGGTGGGCAGGGCTCCCGCAAGGACCTCCCCCTCCTTGGTTATATTAAGTAGTTAGCAAGAATTTAAATTTGTTTTGAATATAATATTGATTAATAAATGAAGTTTTATTAAATTTATATTTAAAAATGTGTACAAATATTAATAGTGTGAATTTAAACAAATAGTTAACTTCAAACCTACCTTACTCGGAGGTATTAGCAACCTCTTTAGAAATGATTGGTTCGTATATTAACTATTCTTTTCATAGTTGTTGTATGAGGGAAAATCGACCTATTGATCTTTAACGTGGTAATAACTATTTTAAAGATCCACTAAATCATGTTTTAATTAGCCAACACGAAACTCTATAATCATCAAGTAAAAGTAACAAAAGGTTTAACAAATAATATATAATTGCACCTTAGATTTCAATGCCGTCAATCAAAATCTATAATTCGAGCCTTCTTGTGTTAGAAAATCAGGAAAAAAAATAAAAATATTAAATAACTTTCAAATCTATATTTAACTACTCAACAATGTAAATGAAAAATCCTTGATTTTGATTTTAGTTTCCAAGAAATTTCAGTAATAAAAAATTTTTAAAATAGATTCCTCGTTTTTTTTGTTCTCTCCCATCTATTGTTTAATTGTCTCCCATTTATATTATTACGAAATAAATATGGTTGAAAATTTTAAGAGCAAAATCTTAAGTTTAAATCTTATTTTTATTATTTTTGTTTTTCAATTTTTCAATTTTATTATATCTTAGTTTCTAAACTTTTAAAATATTTATTTTTTTCTAAACCTTTAAAATAACAAGTTTAGTGCTCCTCTGTCTCTGTGGGGTAGGAAAGTTTTAGAATTTCTACAAAAGGGTAAAAAGAGGTAAAAAAAAAAAGGGTAAAAAAGAAAAGGTGAGAGCATTTAAAGAGAGAAGAAAGCTGGACACTGGACCAACATTGAAGTCACAACTTGTGACGTGTGAGTAAGATAAGGATAAAAGAGTCAATTTCATAAGTTAGAGTTTTGAGTTATTTTATTCTTTTCTTTTCAAATCAGAAAAATATTCTATTTTAAACCATGAATTTGGTATGTTGAGTCGATTAAAACTCTCAAACTAATCATTTCACACATTAAAATTCTAAACCTCGCTAAAGTGAGATAAAACTTTTATTATTCGTTAAATTTCGTTGGAGGATTAAAAGGGGAGAACATGCATTGTTTTTTACTTGTTTGTTTCTGTAAATTAATATAGAAGATCATCCGAGGAAAGTAAAGAAAAGTGTTGGAAATAATTTGCGAAATATGATCTTAATTAGAAGTGTGAAAAATTTTGTGTTGGATGTAGCTAGATGATCCTCAATCGTCAAGCTGCATCTGAACTACAGTGGCTTCAATCTCAATTAGAGTCCGTGTCCCGAACTAACTGCATCCTCAGAAATAGTGCATAGAGACTCTTCAATAGTGCGGGATGAGACAAAGACATGTGGTGACAAAGCTGCACTACAGTTGTACAAATTTTTTTCATAGAAATAGTAGAAATAAAACATCATGGAGGAGTAATGGAGTATTCTCTAGACGTAATTGAACTCCAACTCTAGTTGTGCCATCATAATGGTGCTCTTGGCAGCCACATCTTGGTTTGCATACGTCGTACAGTAAAGATCTGTTAAGAGACTAAGACATTTGACAATGTAGGTGATGATAATGTTGGGTTTGTAAGGAAAATGCAAACAAAATCCCATATTGGTTAGGGAAAGAAATTATCATGAATATATAAGATAAGACAATTATCATTGGTATGAGATATTTTGAGTGAAACAAAAGCAAAGCCGTGTCATTGTGCAACTTAACGCAGCACAATCTCTAACTTTATTAATCATTGAGGTTCAAATCTCCACATCTATTATTATTATTATTAATTTATTTTAAATTTCAAATATATAATTTATGGACAAAATTAAGGATGAAGACCCAAGGCAGGGTAGGAAATACATTACTGGTCCCCCATTCTAAAAATTAAATAAAAAAGAATTGACATCTCTATATATAATTGTTAAAGGAATTATCAACCTGAATTTATTAGATAAAAAATGGAAACTTCAACGATATAATATAAAAATTTAAAATTAATTAAACATAACCTAACAAAATTGAGGGCGAAAACAATTAAATAATGCAGAATGATAAGAGAACGATTGAAAATTTGAAAGTCTAAAAATTAAAACGAAAAATGGATATAAATTGATTACTTCTGACATTTTTGTTAGGATAGCCGGAGTAAAGTTCGGGCTTCTCTGAGAACCACTCGTTACGGAGCCGCGTAGCCCTTTTTTTCTCCTCAGCTTAACAGTTTCCGCCGGAGATCTCTCTCCGATATGAAGCTCTCCGGTAACTTCTCTCTCTTTCTCTACTGGTTTTCTGTGTTTTGTTCCGAAATCTCCGGCGTATTTAGTAGAATTGCTTCTTCTTCTGCGTTCAGATCTCGGCGGAAATGGCGGAGTCGTCAACCAGGCGCACTTAATCGCCGTGTCTTTGGTCGGCGTCGTCGCCGCCGCCGGAACGCACTATCGATGGGGGCGGAGGTCAAGGTCGTCGTCGGCCGTCGAGGATCAGAAAATCGTGCCGCTGATCGGACGGACGGAGTCCGGCCACGCCGGTAGCGTCGAAAAGTTTTCTCACTACTTCGGTAACTTTCGAAAGATTCAAATCTCCGTTCACCGGTAAATTTCCTGAGCGAAAAGGACGAAAATGCCCAGTTCGTTTTAGATAGAATAGAAAACATTAAAAAAAAAAAAGTGAAAATTATAACTTCTGTCCCTTGATAGTTACGTGCAATAAATTCCTACCCTAGTCTAATAATTCCTAAAATCTCTCATAAGTGTTTAAATTCCAACTTTAAAAAAAATGTATCATTAAAATTATTAGATGCAAACTTCCAAGTTGAGCGTGATAGACATATCTTTCAAAATGAATAATATTTAAAAAGATATTTAAGTTAATCTTTTCGATAACTCATAAAGTAAAAAATAAATAATGAAATGTCAATTTTTCAAATAACATGTGATTGTGTGCTTATTATAAGTAACTATCTCTTGTATAGGGCTATTAGAAAATTAATTACTAAGACACATGAACGTATAAAATAGGACAAAGAAAATATATATTTGTTAAAAAATAAATAGTTATCGAAATTTTAATAGGTACCTACCCACGGATCAACATTTAAATATTGTTCTTTTAAAATTTGAAAACTAATTAAATATTCAAAATTAATTTTCAATTTTGTACTTGTGCGGGTTTTTTGGATTAATTGTGTTGTATTGTTGTCGGAGGATAGAAACATGCTGATTGTGTCGAGAGAATTGTGGTACTCTTTTGTTAGGGGATGTTTGATGACGAGAATTATTACACTTGTATCTTATAAGATGTAAAGCATGCTGAAAATTATTTGTTTGATTAGGTAAACGTTAACAACTCTACCTCTTCAACGATCTAAAAATTTGGATAGCAAACTCACTTTTCTAAATCTAGATTTCTAAGTTCACTTCGAGCATAAATTTTTTCAAATCCAGACTTGTGTGTAATTTATAAATAGAAATAGTCGAAATTGCCCCTCTGGACAAGAGAAAAAAATAAAATTGTAGCCGTAAGGAAATTGGGTTTATTTTGTGTGGGGGCGCAGCGAGGCAGGTGGGATTTGCAGACGGCGGGGAGTGCCCACGGCTGGGGAAATTGGTGGACGATTATTTGAAGAAGAAAAAAGGGTGCGAGGAATCGTTGTACGATTATTTGGTGGATGAAAAAGACGCCGATTCGTTATATGTGAAGCTTATTCAAGAGCTGGAGACTTGTATTTTGAGCTACTTCGCTTTTCACTGGGACCGAGCTCCTTCCATGGTTTCTCAGGTACGATTCCGACCACACACCACTCCGAAATAATTTCCATGTCTTTTTGCCACATTCTCGTGTCGGGTCAGGGTGGGAGAATTTGAACTAACCTATTATAAGAATTATTGGGGGAGACCATAAAAGTATAATTGAAAATTTTATATAGATTGGTGAGGGAAAATTACAAGATTATTCTATTTAGATGGTTAAGGAGCAACTCTATTTTGGTGTTCTTACGTGAATTTAGCTCATTGATAATTGATACATGTCTCTGACCAATAAGTTACAAGTTTGAATTTCTCATCCACATTTATTGTACTAAAAAAACCATATTTTATTTGCTTTATCTAATAATTTGTGATGGAGCATAAATTTTTCTGGAGAACAAGGTGAACCTAGTTTAGAATTTTTACCATTAGTTTGATTTTTTGCTACTTTACTCACTATTAAAAAAGAAGAAGAAGAAGAAAATAAAATGACCGAGAACTAATATAAAAATCTTCCAAACTCCTTAATTTCAATGGAAATTAGGTTTTTTTTTTAACTAAGATTAACCATTGAATAAAATTCTTAAAATTCACGAAATTTAACAAAAATCTAGTATTGTCTTTTCTCCAAAGTTCTATTAATTTTGTGTCAGGCTTGTGTGTTTCCTATATGAGTGTTTTTTTTATAATAATTGTTCAAATGAAAACTTAATAAAATGTAAAACTCAATTACATTACTTATTCAAAGGTAAGGTTTGACTTAATGAAATTAAAAGTTACTATAAAAATTTATGCCTTACCGATACCTAAAATTAAATTATTTCCTGATTTTTTTATTACAATGTAGAGATTGAATAAATATGATGTTGATAGTTCAGGGATCGAATTATTATTTTGACTTAAAATCAAAATTTTAACTAGCAAACTTAATGATAAAAAATCCAAAAATTAAGAATATAATTGTTATGAAAAAAAAATTCAAAGTAAAAATAGTATTTTCTTCTCTGTAAAAAAAAATAATTGTGTTTTCTCAAATAGTTAATAAAAAAACAGCTATTTCTTGAAACTTTTTACTTTCAATCAATAATCAATCATAATTACTATGTTTATTATTTGTTTGAAATTATAGTTGTACGAACAGTAGCATTAATCTTTATAAATTAAATTAATTATTGCTATGAAATAATATCAAAGATTAAAACAAAATGGCTCTTGTACTTGTACATGTACAGTGCTTCCATTTTTCATTTGACGTCTCACTGACTTTATTTATTTTTTATTTTTGAAGAAAACTGACTTTTTAAAGACTGTTTGTGAAACGTAATTTATAAAAAGTAGTTGGCAGGCACACCCTAACATTAAAATAATATGTGACATTCCCACACGTTATCCCATAAAATATGAAGTAATATCTTTTTTTTTTTCTCGAACAAATCTGAATAATATTACATATGTGTAGCCAAGTGCAACTACCTTATATTATATAGATTTTTTTATAATATAAATAACAAGATAATAATGTGTAACCATTTAAATTTTGTTTAAATGTATATATTTGTGTCCATACATTTTCGTTATTGCCTCGTCATTTTCTCATCACTGTTCTCCTCCAACTCAATTTCATTGTCCTTGTTCTTCATCCTCTTCCTCGTCTTCTAACCTTCTTCTTTCTTCTGGCATCACCATTTTTATGAACTCCAACCGCATACAAAATGATCCAAAAACCATTGTAAATAGAATACAAAATGTCCGATTTGAAATTGACTTGACTCAATTTTTAACCTNAAAACCTAAAATAAGGAGATTTGATATAACATAATTGTCACGATTTATTTGGCGGGTGGAGGACAAGTAGGCACTTATTTCACTAATTTAAAATGTCACGTCATAAATCTGTTAGTCTATTAACGGTAATTTAACGGCAAGGACTAAAATGAACCTAAAAGTACAATGACCAAAATGAAGGGTTTTTTGAAATTTTGTGGGTAAATTTAAAATAAATGAGAAAAAACGAGTGTATGCTAAAAAATTTGGAGTTTAAGGGTGTTGCATCTGTGAAAGAGACGCAATTGGGTGGATTTTAATGAATGCATCTCTTGATCTGTCGCATCAAAACAGAAAGAAAACGATCCGTTTTTCTTTCCGTAGAATGCCGCTTCAATTTTTTTAAAATTTTTTATTTTATTAATTTACATTAATATACATATTTTTTTAGTATTTTAAGTTGAGATTTTATTATTTATATTAATAAATAGGTCAATCAAATATGTTACTTTTTAAGATTTTTTTTTACAATGACTAAAGTAGTGTTTTAACTATATATTTTTAGTACAAAATGGAGGACCGAGGATCGAACTCACAACCTTTTGATTAAAGATATACATTAATTACTACCAAGTTAAGTTGGTTTTGACAATAATAACAAAATATTAATTATTGATTTCACAATTGGAAAATTATACACCCTGTACATAGGCAATATTAAATTTCACAATGATAATTGAGCTTTGTTGGGTTAATGCAATTTGCAGGCGTTGAGTAGTGATGAATCTGTGCACAAAACAAAGTTCAAAGGCTTTGTAATGGCCGCCACAAGGTTAGTTTCTCCATCATCTCTCTCGAACCTTTCTCATAGGTCTAGATTTTAATTACATAGAAATATAAATTACCATATTTAATTTTCCAAATTCATTGATGACTATCTCTCTAAAATTTAATTTTTTTTAGGTGTTTTTTGACAACTAAATATAATAAGGTTAAAAAATTGTTCAATGAGATTAATCAAAGTGTGTGTAAGCTATATCAAAAAGATAATAAATAAATTACCATATTTTAGTTTAGGTTTACTTTTTTTAATACACATATGAGGATGAAGATTTGAACTCACGACCTCTTAGTCGGAGATTGATGTCGTTAATCAGTTGAATTATGTTAGCTTAAAATTTAGGTTTACTTAATTGTCAAATGACAGGCTTAATAAAGAAATTATATGTCAGAAATTAATTGATTATTTAACAAAATTTTTGAGTGGGAATTTATGTTTTAATTTAGTTTATATGGTTTGAATGTTTGTATTTCTTGAAAGTCTCATGGAAACTATAATTTGGTCTGATCTAACAAATTGTCCATCTCATTACTATGTTGAATATGCAGCATATTTTCTGTTTACAATAGCTTTTTTTTTCCTTCTCTTCTATCTTGCTAATTGCTGTGTTGGGCTACGAAGAATGATTGAATTAGACTTCAACAATGTGACTTTTTTCTAGTGATTGTCACTATGGATTCAAATTATACATACTCTTCTATTAATTATAATGATTTTGTTGATAATCATTCGTTTTTTGTTTTTTATCATGTATTTTTCTTTTCTTATGTTCAAGAAGGATAAAAACATATTCCTAAATTTCAAAAACGAAAACTAAAAATGAAATGATTATTACACGGTCTTTAACAATTTTAAAATTGTAAATACTAAATTAAAATTACTTACAAAATTTAACTTAGTTTTACAATGTAAGTGTAGGAAGCAGAGGTTCGAGAGGGTGACGAAGGATCTAAAAGTGAAGAGGGTATTATCGACCCTGGTGGACGAAATAAAAGCGATGGGCGGCGCCGGCGACGGAGTGGACCCAAATTCGAAATGCACCGCCGTGATGGCTCCGGTGGCCCTCAGCCAGAGGAGTCCGGTTCTGCTTCTCATGGGCGGCGGCATGGGAGCCGGCAAAAGCACCGTCCTCAAGGATATTCTCAAAGAGTACGTTTAAAGAAAACAAAAGGAAACGACACCGTTTTCTTCATGGCTCTTCAAGTTCAAGTTGCATGGAAAATTAATCAAAGAGGACTACAAAAATAAGATAATCCTATATATATGGTATTAATTTTAAAATTAAAAAAATGACACTGAGGGGTAAATTTATACTAAAGTCCCTTTTATAATATTTTATGTCATTAAGTATAATTTCAAAATTATAAAAATAATACAAAAGTGAATTTATATACATAGAGGATTAATCAAGTTTAAAATTTTACAAAAATGACACATTCGAAACTTTTTGCAGACCATTTTGGTCAGAAGCTGAAGCAAAGGCAGTTGTAGTCGAGGCTGATGCCTTCAAAGAAACCGACGTCGTTTATAAAGCAATTAACTCAATGGGCCGCCACGACGACATGCTCCAAACTTCCGAACTGGTAAAAACTATATATATAATATATGTGTATGTATATATGTTGAGATACTCGTAAATGAATTAAATTTAATCAATTCATCCGTTTAAATTTTTGAATTGAGTGGTGGTTTATTCATCTTAAGAATATATAAAAGTTAGGTAAAATTTTGTATGCGTGACATTATTGTATGTGATGTATATCAGGTGCACCAATCATCGACGGATGCAGCATCGTCGCTATTGGTGACTGCGCTGAACGAAGGAAGGGATGTGATTATGGATGGGACTCTTGCATGGGAGCCGTTCGTGGTGCAGACGATTGAGATGGCGAGAAACGTTCACAAACATCGGTACCGCATGGGCTTCGGCTACAAGGTTGCCGAGGATGGGACTGTCACAGAAAATTACTGGGAACAGGTCAGTGAAGATGAAGAACAACGATATGATTTCGATGGTGTAGTTCAAAAAGATAGAAAGCCTTACAGAATTGAGATTGCTGGAGTTGTTTGTGATGCTCATTTGGCTGTTATCAGAGGCATAAGGTATGATCATTACAACAAAAACCACACTCATATCTACAAATTTCTTCAAGATCTTTTAAGTTTAAGGTTTGTTTGATAAACCATGAAACATTACTTTCATTTATTAAAACTTGCCTAAGTTTTTAAGAACATAAAACTACAAACGAAATGTAATGATTATTGAACGATGATTAAAAATAGTTAATTATGAGATTATGGTGGAACAGACGGGCGATAATGGTTGGAAGGGCTGTGAGGGTGAACTCACAGCTGAAATCCCACAAAAGATTTGCTAAGAACTTTCCCAAATATTGCAAACTTGTTGATAATGCCAGACTCTATTCCACCAATGTCATGGGCGACCCTCCAAAGGTAAACAGATCTACCCCTCAAAACACTCTTTGAAACTTATATAAATTTTTAGGGTCTGAGTTTAAATGTCTAAGAGCTAGTCTTACACTGCTTTTAATTTTATTTCTAATAACCAAGTCTCTAATTTTAAAAGTTGTATAATAAGTTTATAATATTTTAATTAGTTTGTCTCTAATAAGCTTCTAATAAGCTTCTAACCTATTAGACATTTTTAATCGGATCCCACATTGTAAAGAAAAGAGACTTCACAAATAGTTTATAATATAACGAACTACTCTTCTCATTGTCAATTAATTTTGAGATGAAATTTCATTTTAAACTTTTAGGTTTGTGTCTAACAGATCCTTGAACTATTACATAATACATACAAATTTTAATTAGGTCATCTAGTGTTAAAGGATCTCACGTTGAAAAGAATAGAGACCTTAAAATAGTTTATAATAAACATAGACTACGACCTTGGAACCTTACATAGGTTTGATACAAAATTGAAAGTTAAATAAACACATTAAACACCTTCTAGAGTTGAAAGAACATTTTAGACACAACTTTAAACAAATAGTTGTAAAAATTTAAAATTTTCTACAATCTCAAGGTTGCATATAATTGGGTAAAGCATTTAATAGGGTAATTAAATGGTTGTAATTGCAGTTGATTGGGTGGAAAAATGGAGAGAGCAAGCTACTGGTAGATCCAGAAGAAATAAAATGTGTTTCGGTGATGAGCAGCTTGAAGGAGAATGCAGTGTCAGTATACGATCTTTACCCAGATGCTGCAAGCATTTTGAACGAGCCAGGTTCGCTGTGGAAAGAAACTGTAATGTCATCTTCCAGGTCCACTATTCAGACGGAGTTGAAGGCTTCCATACAAACCATTGAATCTAAATAGCTCTGCTTTACTTTTTATGTCTTTTTTCTTTCTTTTTTTGTGGAAGAAGATGAATGGAAGTTTTTTAGACTTGGGTCTGGTTGATATGATGTTTTGCATACAAACTATGTTTTTTTGTGGAAGAAGATGAATGGAGTTGAAGGCTTCCATACAAACTATGTTTTTTAAAATGTTTATGCATAACCAAATGTTTTTTTTTTTCTTTTCTAGCAGGGTATTATGGTCTCTCGATTGATATATGTGTTAACAAAATGAATTAGGTTATAAAAAGAAATACTTATATCGAAAGACATTCGAAATCTACGACAATTTCCTTTACTCAAATTTTGGTTTGAAAATTACTTTTCTTTTTAGTTCAATGATGTGAAGATATTAAAGATTTGAACATCTAATCTTTATAATAGTTTTGTAAGGTAATTGAAATACGCTCAATCTTATTCTCTCTCACTACTCATTTTTCTTTTAGTTGAATAACATGTAGAGTGGGAATTTGAACCTTCAATCTTTAGAATGAAAATAAATACCTTTAATCAGTTCTCAGGTGACGTCCAATTTGTTATTCTCCCTCTATAATCGATTTAATTTTACCTTTACTAATAAGTGGCCATATCTAATAGAATAAAATTTACAATATTTAACCTCTCTGAAAATATCGTTTTAAGCAGGACGAAGTGAGGAAATTTTTTTCCCAAGTTAATTTCGCAGATGGTGATGTTTCTTATCTTCGTCTCTAACCCCGGATTCTCGAAAACAATATTTTAATTAAATATATACACTTCCAGTTATACAAAAGTTAGGATAGATTAAAAATCTTAGAAGTTTTGAAAGAAAATTGAAATGTGTTACTAGCCGAAGTATTATCTAATATCGGTTATTTTTGTAATTAACCAAAATTAAGGTTTTGATGTCAAAAACAAAAACAAAAAAACAAAAATTATGGTTTGAAATATTGGGCCTGAAATGGGCTTCACCTCAGGCCCAGATCTGAACCCGTATTATGAAAACCGGGTTCTATTCGGGTCTAGGGTTTCAGCCATTGGAGCTGCAGTTTGTGAGCGATATATATATAGCGCTGAAAAACGAAGGCTCAAAACCCTGCAGATTCTGAAGCATCCTCGCGCCGATTAGGTCTATCTTCTCACCCCAGGGATCCGAAAACCTTAGCCATGGTAAGTTTTCAACTCTTTCTTCTCTGCCAATTATCGCTCTCCTCTTCTATTTTCTTTAACGCTGTTCCTCTGGCCTCCTTCAGGCGGATGTGGAAACACCCGATGTTGCAGTGGCAGGACAGCCGAAGAAGAGGACGTTCAAGAAGTTCAGCTTCCGCGGCGTCGATTTGGATGCTTTGCTCGACATGTCCACCGATGAGCTCGTCAAGCTCTTCACTGCCCGTGCTCGCAGAAGGTTTGTATAACTTAATGTGTGCTGGATTGATTTGGAGTTGGTTCGAATCTTATTTTACTCGTTAATTTATTTTTGATGATTTTTGCGATAGGTTCCGGAGGGGTTTGACAAGGAAGCCAATGGCCCTTATCAAGAAGCTGCGAAAAGCGGTAATTTTCTTTTACATCTTTTTGAGGGGATTGGTTCTAAATTTTTTTGTCTTCTTTGTCGATTCTTACTGGCGGTGCTGTTTTCTGGAATGCGTTTTTAGTGTCAAGTGTTTTTATGTAAGTGGGTAGAAATGTAGGTGGATTTAGTACTGTATTTTTGTAAATCTAGGGTGTAATTTGAGTGATGTTGGTTTTGGGAAGTATCCTGATCCTGCCGCTCAATTCTGTTGCAATTTTCTTCTTGATTAGTAGATATGTGCAAAGTAAATTTATGTACTTAGGGCATTACATCATTAAGTTATATTCTATTGGGTACTTTACAAGAACAAGTTTATGTACTTGGGGGATGATATCTTTAAGTTATGTTCTATTGGATGTAATTTCCAATAACTTGGACCCTTTGTTGGCTGGCTGGTATTAACTTATCTACTCAATCCCCATCTGCAATCTACGTTAAATGAACAACATGATGGCATTTCCGAGAAATTCTCTTTTTTAACTGAGAATTGTGCTCTCTTGGTTCTCTGTATTTTAACTCTTCAAAGCTATTTTATAATTTGACATACACTCTACTCTGCTGCCTATTCATTTAACTTATTCAAGAAGGAAGACTCAGGATAAGAACAAAGGGTAAGGCACTTAGAGCGAATGTCAAGAGAGAGGTTCTGTCGTGAGATATTAGGGAGTTATTAGAAGTTATGGTGTTTTGATGTTAGGGAGTTGTGTGTCTGAATAGTATTAAGACTAGACAAGAGTAGTCTGTGTAAATTTTAGTATATAGTGAACTTCCTCTTGGATTCTTGTGATCTATAAGCTGGAGTTTCTATCCAAATACGTACAAGAACATAATCAGTCATTAGTTCAGATAAAGATTTATATATGATAAGCCATTTGGAAACAGTTTCGAAATGGAATAGATTAACTGCCGCTTTTATTTCTGAGAGCAGCCATTGTTATACTGATTTTTTCATCTTGAACTTGGCATTTGTCACTTACTTCCTTTACTACTTCCAATTCTGTATCTTGATACCATGTTTTTGGTAATTGATTTTTCAAGTTGATATTTTAGTGGTAGATTTGCAAGTTGATGCACCATGAATCTCTGAAGTTGATCATTATATATTTGTGTTAATTTTTACATTTCTGTTCTATTATTTGCGAAGTCTTCCCCTTGGATACCTCCCCACCCTCCCCCAACTGGAAATAGATAAACTAGAAGAATTATTATATCAATCGCTTTCTCATATCTCATTTATTTATTTCTTTCCATCTCAATAGAAAAGGGAAGCCCCTCCTGGTGAGAAGCCAGAGCCCGTCCGAACTCACCTCCGAAACATGATCATTGTGCCAGAGATGATTGGAAGCATTATTGGTGTTTACAACGGGAAAACCTTCAACCAAGTTGAAATCAAGCCGGAGATGATCGGCCATTACCTAGCAGAGTTCTCCATTTCATACAAGCCTGTCAAGCACGGTAGGCCTGGTATTGGTGCCACTCACTCCTCCAGGTTCATTCCTCTCAAGTGAAATCAGAGTCAACTTCTTGCTTTCCTAGTTTTGTCATATTTTTACAAGAACTTGGATGTTGATCAGATTTTGTTCTTAGTTTTTGCCCAATTTTATATGCATTACCTGAGTAGTGTGATGAAAGCTGGAACAGTTTAGTTTTTTGAAACTGGTGTTATTATTAAAATTTTATTTCTACTTGTTTCAATTGAATGTAGACTTGTTTACATCGTAGTTCTGTATTTTAATTTTACAAAATATAATTGAATTAGAAAATTTTAAATTATATTTGAGGTCATTAATTTCGGTTCAGAATATCCAAAATGATTAAACCTTTATTTTTATTTAAATTTTAAAACATAAACAAGATTTGATTGTCACAAGTGTTTTTGACTTTTTATTTGAATTAAAAGAGGAAAGTACAAGAAAAGCTTTTTATTTAAAAATTATTGGAGATTGATAAGAATGAAATGAAACTATTGGACCATGGGCTTTTTAGGGATATGCTTTGTTGTTACTTTTTATTTTTATTTTTTTAGTTTGAGGTAAGATGTTGGTGCTGTTCTTGATGTTTGTTTCATTTATTTATTTTTGTTCTTTTTTAAAAAATAGTAATTTCTCTTTATTAAATACATGAATTTTGTTAGTTAACATCCAAGAAACGATAAAATAATGTTTTATTTATATTTTAATAAATTATAAGTTAAAATAAAAAACCCGTTTTTATTTTCAAAATCTCCGTATGAAATTTTGACGACATTTTTTTAAATAAAAACGTGTAGAGATTAGTTATTGCTTATTAACATGGTCAATTATCATGTAACAAGAAATAAGAAAATTATTTAAAAAGAAAGAAAACTGAGTGGAATTGAATCATTAACGCTCCTAAGTCCTAATAATAAGTTAGTCAACAATTTTTTTTAAATATATTTTATTAGTAAAAATAACTGCGCCTTTTATATTTTATTAACTGATTAGCGACCAAGGAGAACAAAAATTATCAACTGCACGAGAAAATTGAGATAAATATATAGATTAGGGGCAAGATTAGAACCAAATAAATTGTGCAAAATGTCCCTAACATTATCCGCTAGTAGTTTAAAAAAAAAAAGGGTAAATTGCACAAACCACTCCTAAAAAATTGACACTTGAATTTTGTGATTGAGACAATTTCACCCTCAAACTTTTAATCGTAAAAATTGAACCCTTAACCTTTTAGAGGTGGCAAAATTACACCATTATGCATATGTAAAAATTAAAACCTCAAACTTTGATGAATTAAAAAAATTGATACTTGAATTTTCAAAATTCATAAATTAAAACCTTGGAACTTTTTGTAATTAAAAAAATTAAATCTATTTTTAATATTCTCTCCTCCATTTTCTCCTCTCTTTCTTCACACTGCCATGCCATGGGATCTGCGGGCCGGATTTCGAGTTGTTTATGGAGTAGGACCCATTTTTCAACGAACTGTTCGATACTTCAACTCCTTCGTTTGATTATGGAGTTGAAAATTTTGACACATTAAGATTCATTCCTCTGGAATTTCTGAAGAATCTGACGATTTTAGTTTAAAAAATTTGCCCTTTTTTTCTCTCTCTCGAGCATCGATAAAAAGTAGTAGTATTCGAACTACTTCAATTTCAGTAGATCAATGAACCTGATCATTTATTTTAGCTTGGCCATGGATTCTTCCGTTGAAGAAACCCAAATTAGCCAAGAAAAAATTGTGTATAATTGTATCGGTATGCATTTAATTACCGCTTGTTATCAGAATTTTAAAATTACTCCTCTTCGTGGTGTCCCTGCCGCAAGTGCGGTTGGCGAAGATAGTTTCAGAAGCGGAAACAGAAACAGAGTAGGTTTAGTTTTCCATTGAGAAAGTAGCGTCGTGGGAGAAAGTAGAAAAGGAGGACAAAACATTTAAAAATATATTCAATTTTTAAGTTATGAAAGTTGGAGGGGTTAATTTTTACCATGAAAGTTTATGGATATAATTTTTAAATTTGTAAAAGTTTAAGGGCTTAATTTTTACGATTCAAAGTTCAGGGGTGCAATTATAACAACAATCATACTTTAGGGGTGGTTTATACAATTTACCCTAAAAAAAATTGAAATCAAATGTAAGAGCAAAATAAAAACCAAATAACTTATTCTAAATATCTATATTAGCAATTTTTGGAAAAATTGAAACCAAATGTGTATATTAAGAGGGAAATAAAAACCAAATAAATCATACGAAATATCTCGAACGAATGTGAATGTGGTTGATTTTGATTTTGCCCTTAATGTCTTAAAGATTTCAATTTACTTTCAATGATTTATTTAAAATTTCTTGTTTTTATGAAACAAAAAATTGGTAAGGTGCACATCAGTGGGAGTCTATTTTTAACATTATTTTAGTACCATAAATATGAGATGAAAGACTCGCCCGTTGGTAGAGGAAGAGATCAAAGTAAAATTAGAAAAAAAGGAATTGAGACATTGAGTTAATTGGGTGAAGTGTGGATTTTTTTAAAAAATATTATAAAAGTTTAATTAATTATTAAAATATAACCCTTTGCAAACTATTTTAAAAAATAGTTTTGTTTAATTATTTTTTTAAAAAATAGTTCGTAGAGTGTTATGTTTCAATAATTAATTATATTTTTTATAATAGTAAAAAAAAAGTCTAGTGAAGTGCTATATGTAATATATTTTTAATTTTTTAAAATACAAAGGGATTGATTTACGTCAATATTAGATCAAACGATTGATCGACTAGTAAATTTTGCACTCTAAAAAATTGACACCGACGAGTTTGACACTCAAATAAGCTTGCCCATACCGATTCAGTCGATTTTGATAAGTCGAGTTAACTGTTTGCACTCCTAACATTTAGTATACTTTGCCCTATTTTATTAGATACATCCATCATCAAATTTAATTCACTAATTATTGAGTCAGGTGAATAATTATTTATACATAATTCTTTTGAAAATGACTATTTATCTATTTAAACATAAAATAATACTATTTACTGTATTTATGATAACTTTTGGATAAGTTTGAAAAGTAGTAAACTTGATCAGCACTCATAAAACGTGTTAAATGTAGTCAATTTAAATCTGTAACCACATATTATAAAAAAATCGTCCTTAAATCACATGATTAGAAGTATGAGTCCAACCAAAAAAGAGTAGAAGAAAAAGAGTACTAGTAAGGAAAAAAAGAAAAAAACATTATTTATTTATTTACAACAAGACACGCAAAAACAATATTAAAATATATTACAACGTGTCCCTTTAATTATTAAAATTAAAATAACTTTGTTTTATGAATTTTGTTCTTTCCTGGCACTGCCCTTGAAATTTCCTCTCTGCTTCGGTTAGCGTCAGCTGCACCACTCTTTCCACTTCGGCAGCTCCCATCATCTACAATCAATCAAACAACAAAATTTCTTCATATTTTTCTTTTCCATTCTCACCATATGAAACTGACTCTAAATTCTACATCTTCAATCTTAAATTAGAAAAAAAAAAAAAAAGATTATAAAGTTTTCTCTTTAATTTGCTTTTCTAACTCCGCTGATCTTGAGGGAGAAGATTCTTACTTGGGTGTGATCAATGTCTAATTGTGCTGAAAACTCAGCGTCGAAGAAATTAGCGTTAATGACTTTCACGTTTACTCCGACGGTTTTGAGAACGTTGAGAATGGCAAGCATCGAGTTGATCCCCGACGAAGGGTTCGCCAACGCTACCCTTATCGTCGTCGTCGTCCCATTTTCTTTCTCTCTCTTCCGTGCCGCTAATGCAATCTCCAACTCTAAATCTCTCCTCTCTAAAATTGCCTCTAATGTTTTCAGCTCTTGTATTGTACTCGCAGCCATTTGAACGATCGAATTCTTATCGTTCTGCAAAAAACAATGAAGAAAATTACAACATTAGTACATTAAGTAATTGACTACAGTCTATATACCGAAAAAAAAAAGTTTTCTTAGACGAACCTTAGTTTTTTTTGGGAGCATGGAGTGCAGCTCAAGGTAGCTCTTTCTTTGTTTCTCCCTCCTCAACCTTTCATTCAACATATGCCTATAATTCTTCTCCCTCTCTAGATCTTCTCCTGCAGCTGCTGCTTTATTTTTTTCATGCCACTTCTTTCTCCAGAATTCGATCATCCTCTTGTTGATGTTCCGAGAATTGTCACCGACGATGGCTGCAGCGGTGGCGAGATTGTTATCTTGCCCGAATCTGGCATTGGTTCGGGTCGAGTACGGGTCAAAAGCACTTGTTCGGGCCACTGGAGCGAGATCGGCATCGAGCCAAAAGGCATCGCTCTGCCAGAATTCCACCGGAAAACCGTCGTCCATGGGTAGGGAAAAAAAAGGAAAGAAAATTAAAAAATCAGTTGAACTGTCCAACGGTCGAGAGGAGAGGCTGGAATTGATCAGTGTTGTGGGTTTTGAATTGGGTCTCTATTTCTCTCTCTGTGTATATATATGTTTTGGGAGAGGGGAATGGGATGGTGATAATAATTATAATAATGATAAAGAATAATAAAACTTATTTAACACGTGGTCAATGAGATTGGGCTGTTTCTGGTCAAAATTCCCGAGTGGTTCGTTTTGGGAGACTTTAGGATCAGAAAGTCCTGTTTGGTTGTTTTGATAAGAACAATCCAACCCTGGATAGCCAAGACTAATATAGAGTTTGGAGTTTGGAGAATAACTTGAGGTAGTCCTGTGAAGATGGGACCGCAAAGTATTTATGCGGTTGAAGGTTTGTGAAAGGTCTTGGTCGCGACGAAGAGAACCCTATAAACCTCAGTTTCTTGGAAATTAACAGATGAGAGTCAAAATTTTCATTGTTTGTGATGAATGGTGGCAATGAAATCAATTAGCGAGACTCATCTCAAACTTTGTAATCACTCTATATTTTAACTACAAAATTGATCAAAACGTTAAAATCTAGTTTCGAGCATACGCGTGGCAAGAGATGATTGGTTGACACGTGGTTCATAGATCCCGCGAATGATTTATCCAAGTATACACATCTTGACTCATCCATTTGACTGAGTCGAACCCTTTCGGTTGCCGAGCCGAATAAGCACGTTCATAATCCTATTCCCGTATCATTGGTTGAACCGATGTTCGGTCACATCTCCGACACACTCCACGACAGTACGCCGTGTTATCCTTAAAGAGTCGTTGAGGCCTTGTCTGGAACACTGTCGGGGTCTACGCCTATAAATAAGAACAATTCCGTTCATTTGGAGGTACGCGAACATTTCGATTCTCTCTAGATTTAGTTCGAACTTTTACTGACTTTGACATTGGAGTGCTCACTCTGTTTTGCAGGTCTTCTACGTGATATTTAGAGCTCGCTGTCCAGTTCATCCAGTCGAACCGACGTTCGCAGAATTCATCGATTTCTTGATTTAACAATCTACGAACACACTCAAAGACAACAGATGATCTAATTAGTGCTATGAAGCTCTTATCAATGCAAGATTCTTGAATGCAAAATCTCAATTAAAACTCTAGTAGTAGTGCTCATCCATATATTGTTAGTAGATGAAAACCCTAAGGGAGCCTCTGGTACTCCCACGAGCCAGACGAGGCCCAATTCAAAACTACTCTCTAAAAGGTTATAATCTTATTTTTGTCGCCTCACATCTTTATAATTATTAATTTAATTACTAAATCTTACACATCTATTAATAAAACCCATTACTTTTTAATTAATTGCTTTACACTTATATTCTTTTTTATTTTTATTTGTATTACTAATAATTTATCTTCTAATAAAAATTTGTAACTTTTAAGTTCACGTGATTTTATTATAAAATATTACATATTTTTTTATATTTTACTTTGTCATTAGTAATTAATATCAATACATTTTAAAAATAGAATAATTATTACTAAATGCTATAAGAATGAAGTTTAATAATATATTATATTTAATGATGGCGATTATAATAAACGTTTACATATTTTGGTTTTATCCCATCTAAAATATCAATGGTGATAATTGTACTCAGTTATATATATCATGAATCTCTTGCGTACCTAATTAATGTGGGATTTGATTTACACTCCAAATAAGATATTACACTGAGAGATTCTTTGGTAAGTTTCCAATTAGAATTTGGATGATTGTCTCTATGAACTTTGAAATTAGTTTTTAAACTTTCAATTAACTTTTTACTATTTGTAATGTAACCAATACACGAGAAAAAAATTCATGAATATATAAACAAGAGACCATATCTTCGTTAATACGAATATTTTGGATGAACTAAGTGCAAAGTTAATCAGCACTAATCAATCTAAGGATGAAAGTTACAAGATTTTTAATTTAACCGATTATTTTCTAATAAAAATTTCAAAACTTAAAAACCCAAAAGAATTCTAACCCCAACTTCACAAATTTAGAATACAATTTATCCATTCTTCTATGCATTCTAGACTTCTTTCTCTTGCTGCTTTGACTTTAAGCAGCTGAAAAAAGTATACTAAAAATATATTTTTATAGTGAAGTTGATGGTTTTAGAAAAATCAAATATGTGTTATAAATATTTTATCCATACGCGGTGGTCCACCCCCATTAATTTGATTTCAGGCTTTCAATTCAACACGAGGAAAAAACATACAATATACGAGTATTAAAAAAATAATCATAATCATATTTGACTTTCATATTTATTATTTAATATGGGTCAAGAATCAGGGCCCACCAATTCAAAGCCCAAAAACAAAAAGCCCAACGGGCTTTGTCAACGTACAAAGATCCAAAAGCCCAGTTGCGTCGAGGCCCATTACGGGGTTCGAGCGCCTACGAAGCGCGGATTCGAAAGTTGCGACTCAGCGGGCGGCGGATGCTTCGAACTGTAACTCGGCGAGCGGAAAGGGCAAGCTTCTTCTCCGTCAGGTCTGCTGTCAAACCCTAGCTTCTTAACCATTCTTCTGTTATGTATGATAATTCTTCGATAATTCTTCGATAATTCTTCGATAATTCTCCGATAATTCTCCTTACGATTATTTGGATGCTTGATTTGTTAAACAATGGGACCATTCTCTCTTTCTCTCACACACTCGAACACTAACACTTCAGCAGGAAATGGTGCCGTTTCACCATTGTCTAAATCAGAGATCGTTTCTTAGTCTGTGATTGATTTTGAGGGGGTTTTCTACTTGACTATTCTCCGATTACATATCATTCGAATTTGATGCGAATGATACGATTGTTTATTTTGTTGCTCGAATTTACTGAAGAATGGCATCACTGATTACACACGGATACACACTTATGATTTAATAGGATAGGAAAGTAGTGCTGTTTGACCATTGTCCAGAAAGTTATTGATTTGTTCTGTCCTCGGACTGCTGTGAAGGGGATTTTTTTTTGGTTCGTTTACTTTTTTGGAGATCTAGATTTTCAGATATATTGAAGGATTCTATTGTCGTCTTTTGTGTTTTATTTATTTCTTTTGTCCCCTGCTCGACTCCCCCCTTTTACCTAGAAATGAAGCCTTCTTATCCATGGTGTTGTGGAGGATGCTAAAATAGTGTAAATCAGAGGGAAGATAGCAAGTTTTCTGTACTAGAGTAATAAAAAATAATGTTGAAGACGATGAAGAGATTGGATCTGATATATTACTTGTAAAAAGGTTAAATCTTGAAGCATGACTGAAGCATATGGAAACTCGTCTCTTAGGGAAGGAAGTTTAACTAATTTCATGCATGCAAAGGTAAGTTGAATCTGGAGAGATTAATGCCATTTCAGTCTGGCGTTTTGGTGACATTTGTTCAAGACATTGTTGATATTAATGGATGAAATATCCGTTTCTCTTCTTTATTTAAGTATCCAGAATATGAGAATGTAATTTAGTTCGTGAAAAATTAGATGTGCAAAGCCAGTAATGGTTGTCATCTGTTAGGGTCCCAGGGTCCCGATTAACAGAAAGTAACAATGTAACTATATTGCAATATTAAAGAGGAATTACAATATGAATAGACTTTCAAGAGGACTATTTCTCTGCCAAGAACTATTCCAAGCTCCTCACCTAAACTATTCTCAAAGACACCATTCTCTTCCTACTTACTCTATTTATAACCAACTCACCCATAACTAATTACCATAACTTTCCTAACTAATATACTAATACTATTCCCAAACTATCCTTATTTTACTCTCACATCATCCCCATTGGAAGTAGCCCATTTTCATTATTATTCTTATTCAAAGTTGAAAACAGAACATTGTATAATTCTGCTATCAACTGGGATAGTTGGAAATGTGATTAGTTCAGGCACATCATTTGAGTTGATAAAACGCTGATAACTAGGAATGCCCAAATCAAAATACTAATTATAAGTCTTGCTCTTCAAAATTTCTGACAGGTTGGAGAAGAAATAGAGAAAATGTTTCTTAAAGTGCAGTTGCCATGGAATGTCATAATTCCCTCCGAGAACTTAGATGCAAAGGGCTTGATGCTCCAAAGGTCGATTATAATACGTTTATTAGATGAATTTGCCACGAAAAAGGCCACGAAGGATCTCGGATATTTCCTTGCAGTTACAACACTGGAAAATATAGGAGAAGGGAAGGTTCGACAGACTGGAGACGTCTTATTTCCAGTTGTCTTTAGTGGTATCACCTTCAAGCTGTATAGGGGAGAGATCTTGGAGGGGGTTGTTCACAAGGTACTCAAGCATGGCGTTTTCTTGAGATGTGGCCCTGTTGAGAACATATATCTCTCTTATCTGAAAATGCCAGATTACCGCTACGTGCCGGGCGAAAATCCCGTCTTTATGAATGACAAGCTCTCAAAAATTGAAAAAGATGTAGTAGTACGTTTCATTGTCATTGGGACAAAGTGGCTGGAGGCAGAAAGGGAATTCCAGGCACTGGTTAGTTTGGAAGGTGATTATCTAGGGCCTGTTTCTTAATGAATGCTTTTGTACTCTATACCTAAATACGTGTGTGACAACATTCGACTACTTTTGATGTAAATTAACCTTGTTAGATGGAAGTTAAATTTCATGTGAAGAACAGTTATGAATTATTAGAATTTCAAGTGTCTATCATTCTGATTTCGTTAGCATATGCATCTTATGATGTCGGTTTAGATCTCGTTTTAGTCCTGAATGAGTCCCTAAAGTTTACAAAGAGGCTATTTTAGTCTTTGAATGTTTATAAAATAATCATTTTGGTTCTTGCTATATTATATTTTCATCTAATATCCTCTTACTCTATATCTGTCTGTTGCCACCAACTTATGAGGTTTGAATTCGTGCTCACACTAACATGTTCGTATAGAATAGTTATTCTAAAAAATTTTGGGACAAATAAATATTTCGAGCATTTTGGGACTAGAATAGACTTAAAAACCAAAATAAAATCTTGAAAGTTTACGGACCAAATAGACTTTAAGCTTGTGATATATTTAGATATATTTAGAAAAATCAAATTGAGTCGTCTGTCTATGTAGGAAATTTCTTGGATAGTAGGCCTGAAATAGTGTTATTAGGCTCTTCTGTTGTCATCTTCATCTTTGTTTGAGCTTTGGGCTCAGCAAGCAGAAGTTTTTCATGGGTGGTGATGACTAACTAGAAGAACAAAACCATACAGAAACGAAATATAATTATGAAATATTATAACAGAACATCCATTCGTATGAACCACATGGCCTTCGGACTCTTACATGTAGAAGAAGAGGCAGCCAAACGGTATTATTTAGGCAGTAGTAGAACTTAGACGTATAGTAATAATAAGGTGAGATCTAAAGAACATCAGGGCCGCCATGGCAGCATGTGAATCTGATACCACTTCCCATGTAGCGATGACACATGGGGCAGACGATGATCAGCGGAATCCATCCGCTAAATCCTAGAATGTTCACATGTGTGCAGTGAGGACTCTTGGCAGTGAGCTCGTGGTAGTAATCTTTGAAAGAAGCAGAGAAGCCTTCCCAGCGCAAGTTTTTCTTCCATGCTTGAAACTCTTCCATTGCTTTTAGTATCAGATCGCCACCCCCGACGAAGATGACTGTAGGACCTTTGACTATTATTGCCCATCCATTCTCATTTTCGTAAGATATCAATTGCGAGACGTCTTCGGATGCACTCGATCCATGTAGTTGATGTTTGATATTGAAGAAACTTCGTTGTACCATCCAGAAACGAAACATGACAGCAGGATCATGCTCTCCTTTGTCGTTCCTTCCTATGGGTACCATTTCAAATGTAGCTCCTTCTTCTCTCGCCAAAGGATCTCTTTTAATGGCTTCTGCTGTCTCCTCGAATTTTCGAACCCAGTTGGGGTTGTGTCCTCCATAGAATATGATGTTCCTTTCCTGGTTAATCTGATAGAAAGAAAAGAAATGGTTATCAAAATGGTTTACAAGACAATCGTTTGACTCTATTCTATTTATCATGAAAATGAAAATGTAACATTACCCAGCTTCGTAGCCTTGGTTGGTCGCTAAACTTGACGACAGTTGAATCAATCCAATTCTTTCTCAACAAAGCTTTTGCTCTCTCATACGTGAAAGGAATAGCCTCTCTTTTCCAAACTCGAGTCAAATGAACTGCATTTGTGAATTCGATCTTCGATTTCGAGTCGAGAACAACCACCATTAGATCTTCTCTGAGCTGCCATTTCTCCTCTAGAAACCTCACGCCTGCAACTTTTGTAGTGAATGGCAATGCGTACCATTTCATTTTAGATTTCAGAGATTCGTACGCTTCCTCATCACCTTCATTGGGAGGGTCTGAGATGACTGGAACCCAAACAATCTCATACTTATTTTCCCTTTTCAATTCATCGTAAATAACATGAAGAATCTCAAGATCTTCCATTGAAAATTTCAATCCCTTAGAAACTACTAAGATCAAGTTTTTTTCCTTCAAAAACTCCTCAATGTGTTCCTGCATTGAGAATACAAGTCTTGGAATCATAAAATGCATAGACAAAAAGACATCAAAACTTTTTCTTGTCAATGAATTATAGATGTGTTTCAAGACCTCCAATTGAGTAGAACAGTTTATGAGAGGCTGGGGTTTGTGTTTGCCATCAATCAGCTTGGAGAGGAACAATGTCACATCAGTAGGAAAATGATCAGTTTGACCCACCAGAGACTTATAAAGTTCTACCTCTTCTGCAATACAGAAACCAAAATGTTTGCTTTTTTTTTTTCCTTCTCTTCTTTCTTATTAAGTAAAATGACTACAAAAAAGCTTCCATTAAAGACAAAGAAAGCGACTGCAAATTGACCTTGTTGTTCTCGGATGAACTGGAGTTGCTTCTCAAATGTGAAAAGTAAAGATCGGAATTTTTCATCCAATTCGTTCAAATATTTCAGTGTCTGACCTCTGAAATTTGCCACAACAACCGTTAATTAGTTGATAAAAAAAGGTAAACAAACATCGATCTGGGAAAACCTTGAAAGCCACGTGGATAGAAGATCAGAGGAGTGGAGTGAAGAAGGAAGAAAGGGGCCATTCGTGTTAGGTTAAAATATATAAGACCTTGTTTGATAACTGTTTTGTTTTGGTTTTCTATTTTAGATATTTTAGATAATTAAGCTTAGAGACGTTATTATCTATGTGTGTTCCTTTTCTTATAGAGTTTTAATAAACATTTTCAACTTCCTAGGCCAAATTTTGGAGACCAAAAAGTAATTTTCAAAAAATTATTTTGTTTTTAAAATTTAGAATTTAAGTATGCTTTCGAGAGAGGTGAAAAACTTACCAATGAAATTGTACAACAAGTCCAATTTAAGAAAAAAAAAAGAAAACTAAAAACGAAATAGTTACAGCAAGCCTACATTTCTAATTTGGCATTTGACATCGTGGAGTTAAAAAAAAGAACTTACTCTGCGCCAGAAAGATAGCTATGAAGTTCAGTGCTTGAAGCCACAAGAGTGTGAATGATCCAATAAGAAACCAAGGGGATCTGGCGAAGAGCTGCAGATAACTCAGGAACTTCTTTCGTGTCATATTTGGATATGTTCTTGAGTTCATTTATGTTCTTAATCGCTTGTAGGCAACTGTAAATCAGACTGTTGACATGTCGGTATTTGAAAGACTCCAACTCTTTTTTCAGCCACGCCACTCGCTTGATCATCGCCAATGATTTAGCAAGCGGATCCGAGTGAGAGTAATGGTCGAGGTGCCAAATAACTCCATAGTCTGTCGCGAACGCCGCGAAGGTTAACGCGGCCTTGGCTTCCCAAGGGTAGCTTATCAGTTTGTTGAGAATGTCAAGTGTTGTCTTGTGGGCTGTTTCTATTCCTGGAGCCTTGCATGCCAACTGATGAGAATTTTACATTATAACCATATTAGTTTCAATACTAAAAGGAAAGATTACAGAAACTATTTGATAATTTTTTTGGAAAATTAGGACCTCTTTTGAGATCTGATGAAGGGTGCAAAGTGGTGGATCAATTGAGGAGGGATATTTCAAGGGGTCATCTGAAAATACAAAATGCCCTTTGCTTCCTTGTACCTGAAAAATGTGCATAAAATCACCAAAAGAAACTTGAATAGGGAAGAGATCAGAAAGTTATGTAAATGAGTCCTACCCGGCCAAGATGAGTTTCAGCAATTTGATCTGCAGTTTTGACTACGTTTTCGATGAATGAAATGTAGTTATTCAGGTCGATTTTCATTGCCTCGTCGTCGCTATGCTTGGTGTATATATGACTTGTAATAACATCATCAGAGAAGTACTTTAGGCTCCGCTCTTCGTTGGCAGCAAGTGCCAATGGAGCGGCTGGGGTCTTGGGACGAGGTGTGGACATGTTTGTTTTGGCTAGTACTGCTAAGAAAGAATTGAGAGGGATAGAGGGATCTTCTTCTTTGCTGTGATATTATATATTTTTCCTCATTATCACTTTGATTTGCATCCTATTTATATTTCTCATAAGGGTGTGAAAAATGACAGAAAGCTAAGAATAATTTGCAGGTGTTTCTCATTTTCCAAGAATGAATGTGAAATGATACCTTATTGTGAGTTGGAGTTAAGATTTTCTATAAAAATGCTTCATTTAGTTGAAGAATATCCAACTGGAGACAGATTTTATTGACCGAATATAGTGATTTTTTTCACTTTAATTTTGTTTGAGTACAAGATGAGGGCAACAAGCTAACACACAATTCTCCAAGTATTAATCATCACTCAAAAGGAAGTGTTCATTATTTGGTTCAAAATTTCCATCTAGATCCACATTTCTTATATGTTAATTTATCTTTGTTATTGAAAAGAAAGCTTAATGATGAGATTTGAATAACAAGGAGAGACCCATATAAGTTAGAAAATTATAATAATAATTAATAACAAAAAATATGCATCGACCAATAAGGATATGAAGAAATTTTATGTTTTAAAAATTTTGTTACCTAAGGTATGTTTCACTCATGATTTTAATAAGTTGAAGTTTATTTTATTTTATTTTATTTTTTGAGTAAAACATGTGGGGTGGGAGATTCGAACTCACAACCTTCTGGTCGAACATAAACGTCTTAAGGTATTGAGCTATGTTAAGATTGGTTAATAAGTTCAATTTTATAAAATTTAGGGTTTCAAAGCCTAGAGTTTTGTGTAACTTGGTCCTTGGTTGAGGGTTTGGTTAATATGCATAAATTAAACAACGTTTTATCTTTATCTTTTTAGTACAATAAATGTGGGGATGATGGATTGAGTCACTCTTACCTCTAGGGAAGGAGTAGGATGCCGATGCCTTAATTAACTGCTGAGCTATACTCATGTTAACGTTAGATTAATTTTTATAACAGAGTCTTTTGTACTCTATGGGAATAACAAACCTGTAGCTTCCAAATAAATAAACCCACATACTTGGTATTATCTCCGCTTCATAACTACGAATTATACCAAAGAAAAGTTTATGGACTAAGTTGGATATTACAAATAAAAACAGTTAATAACTTAAAAGTAAGTTTGAATTAGTACCATTTTTCTTAATTTTCTTATTGACGGCAGCTCACAAAGAAAATGAGAATAATTTCACATTCTTAATAAGTAGTAAGTGAATCGATTCGTTTAAAACTCCAAAACGAAGTTTTTGACAATTTTGGGATAAAGTAATAGAAATTGGGACAACTTAAAGCATAAAGAGAGAGGCACAGTCATTGGCTTTACGTAATAAACTAAGGATGGATGCTGAGCTTTAGCCATGCATGACAACAAAAATCAAAGAAGACTGATGAAGCTAAGAACATCACCACACAATCTTAGGCACACCAAAGATTCTAATTGTAATATATTTTTGTTTTTGATAATGGGTAATAATAAATAAATTTATTAATTGTTGCCCCATCAAATATATAAGAATAATCAAATGTGTTTTTTTTTAAGTTTGAATTGATAATAATGTATGCCTCAACTTATTGAACTATATTTGCAAAAATAATATAATATATTATATCATATTTTTTAAAAATTATCAACCCGAGCATGGTTCAATGGATTAAGACACCTATCTCTCACTAAAAGATGGTGAGTTTGAAACCTCACCCCTATGTTGTAGTAAAAAACTGTTTATTGCAACTTTTATTAACTAAAAATATTTTTATTTATGGAATTAAATATATTATTAATTGTTTAAAAAAACATATTATTGTACTATAAAAGAGAAAATAAAAAAAGGAAAAAAATGAAAAGAAAAACAAGTTATTAATCTAATATTATACGATTGATGGTTGTTTTAATGAGCTAAAAAATATTAAGATCCTACATATATATAGATATATATAACCAAATTATTATATATAATGATATATAATAAATGTAGTAATTACGATAGATCAATCATTTCTTTTAATTGGAGTGTCTTCTCATAGCCTCCCTACCTTGTACATTTCTCACATACTTTTGAATGAAATAGTTTCTTGTTTAAAAAAAAATGATGTACCATAAATATAGGGCTGTGAATTTGAATATTTAACTTTGGAATTGGAGTATTTATATAACTTTCATTGTCGAGTTATGCTAAGATTTAAACATAAGTAGCATGATTATTGCTTATATACCCATATAGTTTAACATACTCCTTTACAAATATTGAGTTGTTAATTACAATATTTGAAATATTCTATCCGAGAGCATAGACTATTATTCATGAAAATCGACCAAAAGCCCAAGTAGAATATCCTAACCAATTAAATCCACGTACCAAAATGACAAACTGTTGATTTATCATTTTGGTTTGATTTGATTCCAAAGTTAAGTCTTCCCCTTTTTTTACACTTCCATTAATTTTTGGTCAGTGGATTTCGGCTCGACCCAAGAATTGAACCGAACCAAACCAATTAGAGTCGTAACTTCGGAGTTCATATATACAATTACAAAGTGATATTGCCCTTGTATCGTGACTCTTTGGGCTCGTCTTTTCGCCACTTTCCATTATGCTTTTGTAATTACGATTATTGCATCTATTTGGTCATCAAAATCTCTCGTTTTTTGTAATTATGGTATTGTGTCGTCCATTTCACTTGATAGGAGTGCATTTCTAAAGACCTCCTACTTCTAGTATGATCTTCACATGCCCTTAATGATACCTTTATTTCCAAAAAAAAAGAAAAAAATTACAAAAGGATATTATTATTGAAAGATCAAACTGCATTTTAAATCAAATAAAATGGTGGGTGTATACATATTTATATATATAATTAACACTTGGGAAGTCTTCCACGTGCTGCATGCTTTTAGTTGAAATCCTAAAAACAACAAAATTATAAAAGATTTTCTTGATACTTTTAGTCACTAAAAAATCAAGGTATCAAGTACCTTAGAATTTGAGGTATACTCTACTAATTGGCATAATTAAAATAGTTTGGTGCACCAGTACTTCCTAAAAGAACAAGATATTAACGGATAAAAAAGTGTATATATGAGAAATAACATTAAGAAAACATTTATAAAAGAGGTTAAAAATTTAAATTTAGTATGAAATATTTTTATTCCATATAGCGTATAACTCGAAAGCCAACATGAGCTTAGTTTAGCGATAAAGACACATCTTCTACATTCTCTAGAAGTTGGAGGTTCAATCTTCCATCCCCACATTTATTGTACTAAAAAACTCGAAAAGTTTATTGAACTAAAAAAAGAAATTGAAAAAATTATTGTACTGATTTTAATTTAGAGAGAAAAAATTAACAATTAAGGTTTTGGTGGTAAAAAAAGGAAATATTAGAAACTACCAAAAATTTGATTATATGTCACAAATTCTTCTCTTTTGCCCAGGGTTTTTCCTCCTAAAAACTTGTTAGGGATATTTTAAGGACTGAATTGTCCATTCTAACCTTTGGTGACATCACCCTAACACGTAAATTTCTTCCCGTACCTCGGTATAGTGATAATCATATAACTATTTCCATAGTTAAACTGAATATTTTGATTTTGGGAGTAGAGTAAAAAAGAACAAACAATTAACAAAAAAAAAAAAAAAAATTAAGCTGAAGATTTTTATTTTGAAAGCAAAGGAAAAAATGAAAAAAAATTAAAGTACAGATTTTGATTTTGAGAGCAAAGGAAACAAAGGGTAACAAAAAAGGAAAAAAAATATATATGTATATATATACACGCACACTCTCAAGATTTTAATTTAATTAGAATGGAGAAAAAAAGAACAAACAGTTAATTAAAAAAAAAACAGTGAATGAAAAGAAAATTTGAATGGAGAATGTTGATTTTGAGAGCAGTGGAAAAAAAAAATAAGGCGACAGAGGAAAATTATTAAGAACTGGAATGTGATCGAGGGAGAAGAGTGAAACATAATTTTACGTGATATGTGACATCAACGAAGGTTAAAAGAACAAGTTTCTTAAAAATTAGACAACAAATCTGATTAGCCCATAAATACTTAGGTCATCCCGAACGATTTCCTCAATTTTGTAGTTACAGTGTTTTTCTTCATTCATTTGCCCTTTTTTCTCACTGTTTTTTAGTGAGCTTTAAATATTTTGACCCAAAACTATATCTTAATATTTTCTAGTTTAACTCTTATAATACGGAAGGATCTAAGTATTAACCTTTGAAGATGATAATAGATGTCTTATCTATCTGAGCAGATGGTCAGACCTTTTAACGACTAAACTTTTATTAAGCCTTAATGGCAGTAGCGAAAATTTTCTTTCCAAACCAGAAAAAAAGATAGAAGAGAGAAAAAACCAACTAGTTTTCACTCACATGCAATAATATTCATGCGTAGGCCTAATAGGATCAAACTTGATACAAACATACAACAAAGATGAGTCAGATCATCTGGTATTATTTAGTATATAGTAGTACATATAGTATATTATAAAGCACACAACATGTCGAAGTAGTTCGGACTTCTCCGCGAAGAATGTGTGCTTTCTGACATCACTCGGGGCGGCCATGGCTACACTTGAAGCTTATACCCGTCTCCATGAAACGAGGACATTCAGGGCAATTTACTATCATCGGAATCCAGCCACTAAATCCCGGAAGAGTCATTCTTTCACAAGTATGAAATTTGAGATTTAACTCATTACTGAAGTAATCTCTAAACGCATCAGGGAAAGCTTTGATATTCAAATTCCTTTTCCATTTGTTGAAATCTTCGAACACTCCCAGAACCAAATTGCCACGTGCTACGAGCAACGGAGCTGATCCAACAGCTAGAACTGCCCAACCGTTGTCATTTTCATAGGATATCAACCGTAGGATGTCTTCAGTTGTTTCAGTTGCACTTGAACCTCTCAATTGGCTCTTGATGACAAAGTAACCCCATTGTGTGATCCAAAAACGAGGTGAAAGAGTAAAATCATTCTGTCCTTTGATGTTTTTTCCCACGCGAACGATTTCAAATGTAATTCCTTTTTCCTTTATGAATGGATCGTTCTTGATTTCTACTACTTTCTCTTCGAATTGTTGGATCCAGTTGGGATCTTTTCCTCCATAAAATATGATGCTCCTCTCTTGATTGACCTGACCAAAAAGGAAATTTTTGGTTCGTCAAGATATAAGATGTCAATTAAAACAATATAGTGAAAACAGGAGGGACGAAAGAAGATAGTACCCGTTTTTGTAACGCTTTCATTTCTTGTTTTTGATTTCTCTAGAAAATAGAATTGCATGACCCCAATACCCTAATTTCAAGGATGATAAAATATGATTTTTTATTTATGATCAAATTGGAAATGAGAACCAGAAATAAGAAACTTGTTTTTGTTGTTTCTAAATTTTTATGTAATTTTGAGAATGTGTTTAAAAAAAGTGAGGAACAAGAAACATAAATAGTTGTAAAGGCTTAGATTTCTTAATACCAATTGGAAACGAGAAACAAGAAACGAGAATACGTTATTGAACGAGGCTCTGACGTTCCCGTTTCTTGTTTTTTATTTCTTCTTTTTTAATAAAGAAAAACATAGTAACTATTTCTTAATCTTTATTTTTTTCCATTGAAAAAAGAGAGAAATTTGGTTTTGTTAGAAATAGGAACAAGAAACAAGAAACTTGGGGCCGTTTGATAAGGTTCATGTTTCTAGTTTTTGCTTCTTTATTTTTAATGAAGAAAAATTTATTGTATAGTTTCAACTCCTAAAAATTCAAGTATAATAAAACAATAATCTTTTTATTTATGTTTTGGAACAAATTGAAAATGAGAACAAGGAAAGGAAAAATTTGTTTGGTTTGTTTCCAAAATTTCTATACAGTTGCGAGAATGTTGCCAAAAAATGAGAAACAAGAAACAAAGTTGTAAAAGGCTTAGATTTCTTAAGAAAATTGTAAACAAGAAACATGAAATGGGAACGTTACCAAACGGGCCCTTGTTTTTTTCTTTTTTTTTTTTAATTTTTGAGAACGTTTTCTTTAACCAGAAATAAGAAACATCAATAGTTGCCAAATACTTAAAATTTTGAAACGAGAAAGAAAAAACGAAGACGTTAACAAATCAGCCCATAATTAGGTACTTACCCAACTTTGCAATCTTGGTTGGTCAATAAATTTGAAAAGGGTGGACTCAGGCCAATTCTTTCCCAACAAAGTATTAGTTCTCCCATTTGTGAATGGAATCGCCTCAGTTCCCCAAACTCGAATCAAATGGATTGCATTTGTGAATTCAATTCTCGATTGTGAGCTCAGAACAACAACTAATGGGTCTTGTCTAAGTTGCCAATTCTCCTCAAGGTATCTCCATCCTGCAATTTTTGTAGTGTATGGCACAATGTACCACTTCATTGAAGAGCTTATGTACTCATACCTCTTTCGAGCTTCTTCTTCATTGTCTTCTACAGAATGCTCAGGAATAATTGGGATCCAAACAATCTTATATTTCTCCTCCTTTTTCACTTCATTGTACACCAAATGAAGAGCTCGAATATCGTCGTCCGAGATATCTAATCCAGAAATTACCAAGATCACATTCTTTTCTCTTAAAGCATCTTGAATGCTAACCTGTATAAGCATAACATGTAATCCTATAAGTTAAATAGATCCAAAAATCAAGTATGAAAAAAAGAAAGTTTTTTTTTTTCTTCTATAAATTTGTGTAGGAGGGAACCTGTGATCGAGTAGAACCATCTATGAAAGGCTTTGCATCAACCTTGCCTTCAATAAGCTTAGGCACAACCGATGTTATCTCAGTTGGAAAGTTATCAATGTGGTCCACAAGCCATCTATACAGACCAATCTCATCTGCATCCATTACATGTACCAATTCCCCATGTTAGCAACTTTTTTGTTTAGTTGGAAAAATAATGCAACGTTGTGTTGAAATTGTGATGGAAAAGAATGAGATTAAAAAATAAAATCGAGGGACTAAAATAGTCACATTTTTAAAGTATAAAAACGAAAACAAACCTTTTGAAATTACAGTAACTAAAATTAACCAAAGCTGAAAGTACATGAATTAAAGTGAGTGAAAATTTTGAAAGTACAAAAACTAAAATGAACCAAAATAGTATTTTATCCTATAATTTAAATATATCTCCTTTTTTGATTACCCAGGAGTTGGTGGCCCTTTAGCCTTTATGCCCCTATACCTGGGTGTATACACACTGTCCCCATACCCGAACATACGCAAGGGTCATTACTTGAACCCGAGACCATAAGGAGATTCCTTCAGACTCCAAGCCACTCAAACTATTTCTTGGAACTAAATATATCTATTTTCCAAAAGTTAGGAGCACAAGTTATAGATTATTTTTTGATTTTCAATGGATTTGACCTTGTTGTGCTGTAATGATGTTGAGATGATTCTCAAGAGTATTGAGTATAGAGTGGATCTTGTCAGCCAACTCATTCAAATATTTCTGCGATTGGCCCCTGAAAGATCATAAAAAAAACCACAAAACAATTAGCTACCAATTAAATAGAAATACGCATTCAATAAACATGAAAAATGATTGAGATCATCATCATAAGAATTGTAATAATATACTCACTCAGTTTCATTCAAATAACTTGAAATCTCAGTTCTGGATGCCACAATAATGTGTATAATCCAGTAAGAAACCAGTGGAATTTGGCGAAGCACAGAAGACAACTCTGTAAGTTCTTTAATGTCATATTTGGAGAAGTTCTTGAGTTTGTTAATGTAATTCATGGCTCTCAAGCAGCTGTAGATCAAACTGTTGGGGCTAAGAAGCACCTGCCGATATTTGATGGAGTCCAGTTGTTTCTTCAACAAAGGGACTCGTTTGATCATGGCCAATGATTTTGCAAGTGGGTCCAACAATGAATAATGGTTCAGATGCCAAATGTCTCCATATTCAGTAGCAAAAGCAGTCAAAGTTAGCACTGCCTTGGCCTCCCATGGATAGCTCACCAATATATCAAGAATGTATAGTGTTGTTTGATGTGCTTTTTCTATCCCTGGAGCTTTGCAAGCCAGCTGAGAGAATGCATTTTTAAATCGGTTAAATCACTAATAAATCGAAAAGTGCTGATGATATCTTAATACTCTCTCTTATTTGTATGGGGCTTGAAAATTTGCATAGGACCAAAAAAGTGAAAATTAATATTAAATAGGAAGAAAATGACCATTCCAAAATTCAAGCACAAGACTTTCGAGCTCTAGTACCAATTTACAAATGTTTAATCACCCATGAACCCAAAAGACACAACAAGAATTTATGGTTCTCCCAACGATATTTATGCCGACACTCGAAAAGTCGTTGGGATAAGCTCTTTTGCCAAACCGATAACGTCGAAAAAAAGTAGGTTTTTCCTAACGTTTTCTAGAAAACGTCTAGAAAAGTAAGCTACCTACCAAACTTTAAAAAAAAAAACGTCACGAAAATTTGAATATTTCTCGACTTTTTTGTTTAAAAACGTTGGGAATAATGATTTTAAAAAATGCCAAAAAAATGCCCCTATTCTCCCGAGGCGTAATTTTGATCAGGAAAAATTACTCGATCCCGACGTTTTTAAGGATTTTTTCGACATTTTTAATCGTCGGGAAAAGCCTTATTTTATTTCTTTGTAGTGAGATTAAATTTCGTTAGGTTAAACTTAATCATTTATTGGTTAGGTTAAACTTAATCATTTATAGATATCTTTTGTTTTTCGAGTACAGCAAATGAAGGTGAGGATCGAACTCACGACCTATTATGAGGAGATATATGTCAATTAGTACTGAGCTATGCTCGCTCGGACATTTAGAAATATCTTGACATGCATGACATGGAAATTTTATTGCATAATAATAACAAAATATGTATATCACCCAAATAATTGCTCAAAAAGTATTTTAAGAGACCTGGCTCGATATTTGGTGAAGGGTGCAGAGCGGTGGATCCACAGCATTCACTTTCAAGAAATCGTCTGAAAATATCAAACGTCCTTCGGTGCCCTGAAATTAATATCAATATATCATATACATATAAACCAGTAACAAGACATATGATAGAGTTAACGAAAGAAAGACCCATATAAAAATGTTTACTTGAGAAACAGTTTCAGTGATTCGATCAGCGGTTGTGATGATACTTTCGACCAATGCAGTGTAATTGTCTACGTCGATCTTGACTCTATCGTCCTCACGATGTTTAGTGTATATGTGGCCGGTAATGGTCTCATCGGACAAGTGTCTTAGGCTTGGGTCCTCCTTGGTGGTGGTAGAAAGTTTAGGATGCACCAATGGAGCTGCAATGGGGTTGGTGGGATGTGGTAGAGACATGGTTTAAGAGAGAAGGGGAATGGAGAGATAAGAGGCAAATGCAAGCAAAGAGGGAAAGAAGAGAGATTGTGTTGTGTGCCATTTGCTCGATTTCCTCTCTTATTTATAGCTCTTGAGAAGGGAGAAAATGAAGAGACAAAGCTGAGAAGTAACAAACTTTAAGGAAAACACAATCTTTTTTTGTCTCAATAAAAGAATATTGTGTTTTAGCTAGCTTTCTGAGTAAGCTTGAGTAAGCTTTAATTTAAAAGAAGTATGGTTATAAATATCCGTCGATATGTCCATGTTTTCATGGGTTCGACATTGACATGAGGGGTAAATCGACATTCTCGTCATAGTATAAAAAAATTGACAAAATATGAAAATTATCGACAAAATGTCACTAATATATACATAATATTAATTATTTTTTAAACTTATTTAGAAATATGAAAATGTTTATTCGTTAATTTAAATATTTTTTACAATTTTTTAATTTCTATAACTTTTACAGAAATATCCATCGACATCGACATATTGTCGATATTTCCATGAAATTGAGATCTCGACATTTCCATTGACATTGACATTTAAAATCTTGACAAGAAGTAAAAAAAAAAATAATAATAAATTACATTTTTGGTCCTTGAGATTTGGACTTAGTTTTTATTTGGTCCTTAAAGTTATGACATTTTTAGTCTCTAAAGTTTGAATTTAGTTTTTAATTGCTTCCTCAAGTTCTTTTAGCTAAATTCAAATTTTAGGGACTAAATTTTATAATCCAATGGGTCGAGTTAGCTAAAACTTTAGATAAGAAGGGTGTAAAAGTGGGGGCATCCCAAATTTTGTAGCTTTTTATTTATTTGATGTTAAAAAGCAGGAATAATAAATGATTAAATCACGTTTTAGAATTTTATAATGTAGCTTTCACTTATATCTAATTAGTTTTTATAGTTTTAGAAGTTTCATGTTAGTAAGGGATAAAATATAACAAGTTTATTTAAAGAATGCAACAAATGACTTACATAATTTGATATTTTGTTTTGACAAGGTGCATAAATGTGAATTTGGATTAAGCTTTAAAACATTATTTTTGGATTAAGCTTTAAAACATTATTTTAGAGTGCAGCGACCGATGACACAATTAGGGGTGAAACAATCTCTTCGGTTCATTTTTGGACAGGAAGGAAAATCGAAATCAGTTGGATTAAGTGTGATGAGTTTGTGAGGGGAATGCAAACAAAGTTTTACGTTGATTAGGGAAGAGTATGATTTATGGTATATAGACGAGAACAATTATGTCTATTGGTATGAGGTCTTTTGGGTGAAACCAAAAGTAAAGTCGGAAGAACTATATAACAAAGTGGATATAAAAACCAAATTGGTTGGATTTCTTACCCTCCTGGAAGACACAAAGTAATGATCCTAAATTCTAACCCAAATTTCTCATGGTTTCAATTTTTGTTCGTATGCTCACTAACAACATATAGACATCTGGTAATAAGCTTTTTAACTGAAGAATAAGAAGGATAATGAGCTCTCTAAAATATCAAAGGCATAGTAACTTATGCTATAATTTAATCCAACAAATTTATCTCAAGTATATGATAACATTTTAAAAAATATATAATTAGGAATGATTTATCTTCTATTATATGTTCGTGTAATTTTTAGCTCAATAATTGCACGATTGAGATCGAGTAATCGATATTTCACTTTCGAGATGATATAATAGAATATCTCATCTATTAAAATACGCATTCAACGAATAATTGACTTATTCTATTATATTTTAAGAATTTCTAGATCTTGAGAGTATCCCTCTTAGATGGACTTTTACATTAATATAATTCATGAGAGAGTGTTGACATAATAATAATATGAAGATAAGTTGCAAATATATTTTTTCGAAAGAGAAATCGTTTCGTTAAAGAGAGCAGGTGAAAAACATATAAAAGTATAAAAACAGAGACTTAGATAAAAGTACTCAAATGGAGAGAAATGGTAGAAAGATCATAGTTACACACAATATTATGTAGCCAACTTGAACATCATTACAAAAATTATAACTTTCAGCGACGAAATATTTGTTTTGTGATAGTAAGTTAAGACATCCCACTGCTTGTTTGTTTTTAACAATAAATTAAAAAAGGGACAATTGTAAATATGACAAACATATTTAGTAAAATTAACAAAATAACAACCAATTAAGTTTTTTCAAATATAGCATTGTTTTTTTTTTCTAAAAAGCGGAGATCAAATTTTAAAATGACTACTTGATATACATCTGTAATATATCTAACTATTAATATATGTATGTGATATATGATACTACTGAAATGAATGTCTGATATACTTGCAATATGTATGTGATATATATCTGATATGCTACTTATATGAGTGTCTGGTATATTATTAATATATAAAATTTTTTTGCTATCCACTACAATTTTCCAAAAAAAAAGAAAAAAAACTCGCTACTATGTATATAATATTAATTGTTCACATATTTAACTTTATTTCTAATATTACAGAAAATGACTTCAAAGCAAACTGTGCAAGAATGTAAAAATGTAAAGGTTAATTGGAAACTAATATTTTAATCTTTAGGCATAAAAGTGTACGTCCTGTGTCTTTTTGCTTTTGCTATGTTTGTTCTTCTCTCTTTTTCAGACCTTTCAATAGTTCCATGCAGGCAATGGCACAAGCAATCTTTTCTTGCTTCTTCCACTCAAAATAGTTTCCAATTCTTTCTCCCTTTCGAAGTCATGTCTTTAAATTTTGGATCATATAGCAACATTAGGAATTAAATTATTTTAGAATCTTATTATTGGAATTACTACACAATTTCTCTGAAAGAAATATATAGAGCATAATAATGAACAATTCAAACACACCACATTTATAATCTTTAGTTTAGAAATATATTTTTGTATTTTTATATTTTAAGAATATATTAAAATTAGAAGTTTATTATTATTACACTGTTAATTTGAACATAGCTCAATTAGTCAATGCATATTAGAATAAAAAATTCTCGAGGAGTTGAAGCTCTAATGACTAAACCTCATGAACAAATAACTTTACTGTTTATCATTTTTTTTTTCTTATATCTCTTGTTTTCAATTTTTTTAAAATATAAGCCTTTGTTAATTGTTTCTATATCTTGGAGAAACGTTTCGAAAATTATATATAAATTTTGGAAACAATAATAATTGTTTCTGTTTTCGGTTTCTATATATTTTTTTAAACGTAAATAAAAGCATTTTCCTATTATTGGAGTGCTTGCAAGGGCAGCAAAAAAAATTAATAAAAATTAATAAAAGTTTGCAAAATTAGCAACCATTTTTCAATTTTTAAAAAATAGCAAAATCTAGAGGCCCAAACCACGCAAAGTTCAATATACTCCTTAATAAACATAGAGCCCAAACAATGATATATGGATGTGAATGCTAATATCCAATAAAGATATAATATCTAATTTATAAAATTACTGAAGGAATCAAGAAAGACTAATCATATAATTCATGATTCTCAACGATATATGATATATCTAATATGAATGTTAATATACCAATGATGTATATGATATATACATCTTATTTGATATATCATTAATATACCTTGATATACTTGATTTAATACACTATTGATATATATAAAAATCTAAAAGGATAAAATCAAAATAACTAAAAATAAAAAATTAGATTTCAAAAAACTATTGGTATATTTACAAATATGATCAGTTACAAATGTGCGTTGGCTTGCCTCCATGAATAAGGTCTAATGAGAACTTTAATTACTGATCATAAGGAGACACAAAAGGGTAAACTTCAAAGGTTAGTCCATAAAAATATCCTTTAACGATTAAATATTTAAACTCACTAAAACCATCAACAACGAATAATAGTAACGATGTAGGGTCCTTTTGATAACCATTTTGTTTTTTATTTTTGGTTTTTGATTTTTCAAAAATAGGATTTGTTTGATAACCAATTCAATTCTCTGTTGTTTGTTTTTCAAAAACCATTTTGGAATTCTATGTAAATTTCAAAAAAAAAAAAAAGTAGTTTTCAAAAATAGGTTTTTGTTTTTCAAAATATGATTTTTTGTTCTAATACTAAACTTTTTTTTTCTTTCTCATATTTATTTTTAAAAAATTTATTTCTCACTCTAAWTTTTTTTTATTTTTTAATTTCTTCCTACAAATTTTATTTTTTTCTCTCTAAAATTTTCATATTTTGAATATTTATTATTATTTGTCTCTTTCCAAAATTTTCTGTATTTTTGTTTTTTTCTAACAGACCAGTTTCATTTCTCTCTTTAAAAATTTAATATTTTTCATAACTTTTTTCTCTCTAAAATTTCATCTTTTATAATTTTTCTCTCTTCGTATTTTTTTCTCTGTAATTTTTATATATCTTTGTATTTATTTATTTTCTCTAAAACTTATATTTTGAATGGTGTTATTATCTCTAAATTTATTTCCACTATAATTTTTCTCTTTCTTTATAATTTTTTTTCTCTTTAACATATCTTTTCCTCTCGACTTTATTTTTTTTCTCTACAATTTTTCTCTTTTTGTCTTTAACTTTTCTTTCATGGTTTTTTTTTTCTAAATCTTTTTATTCATCTCTCTGAAATTTATCTTCAAAAAGTTTATTTACATCTCTCTAAACTTGTATTTTCATGGGTGGAGACAAAAATTTTCCAAAAATAGGAAATGCATGTCCCGACCCCGTCCCCATCCCCAATTCCATTTTTTAAATAATTAATATATATTTATTATACTTTTTTATACTTAAATTCTAAAAATACTTAAAAACAATTATAAAACCGATAATTTTTCTTGAGAACATCTCTCAGACTCAAGGAGTCCGAGATGGAGACGGAGACTAAAAATTTTCATAAGTACGAGAATGGGGGAGAGCATCCTCACTCGCACCCACACCATTGCCATCTCAATTCACATAAAATTTTCTCTCTCTAATATGTATTTTCAATTTTCTAACTTTTTAAAAACAAAAAACTAAAAATGGTTAGCAAGCATGTTTTGGTTTTCTGTTTTTTAAAAACAA